TGGCGATGACGATCGTGGGTGGCAATGGTGATAGTGGTGGTGGATTTTGAGTGATGATAGTGGTAATGACAGTCGTGAGTGATGATGGTAGTGGTGGTGAGTGTGGGTGGTGGTGGACGACAATGATGGTAGTTGGCAGTGGTGGTGGTGGGGCAACAACAGTGATGATGGGCAGTGACGATGGTGGTAGTGGGTGATAGTGGGTGGCTATAGTCGTGGGCGATGATGGGTGGTGGTGGTAAGTGTGGTAAGGGTGGGTGGCAGTAACTGGTGATGATGGTGAGCAACGACGGATAGTGGTGAGTTATGGTAATGGGAAACGGTGGACAACAATGGTAGTGATGAGTGCTAACGATGGGTGTAGGATGATAGTGGTAATGATAACAAATATAAAAATAAAACGACGATGGTGACAGTGGTGTGTTGACAGCAGTAACAGTGGTGGCACAACAATGGAGATAGGGTGTGGCAACAGTGGTAGCAGTGGTAATGGTGATGGTGGTGGTGGGGCGATGGAGGTGATGGTGGTGGGGCAATGATGGTAATGATGGAGCGGTGAAAGTAATGGTTAGGGTGGAGGTGAGGGTGGAGTTAGGAGTGGTGGTAGTGGGGCAGTGGAGGTAGTGGGGCGATAGTGGTATTGGTGATGGTCGTGGGATAGTGATGGGCAGTGATGGTGGGTGTGGTAGAGTGGCGATAGTGTTGATGGCGGCGACAATGGGAGGGGGGGTAAGGGAGAGGGAAAAAGTTGTGGTGGTAGTGGTGATTGTGGTGGGGCTGTAGGGGTGGTGGTAAGGCGGCTCCAAATACTCTTTTTTTTTAAGTACTTATGAGAAATAAGTCCTAAAATCATTTTTTAAAAGTCATTTCAAACATACCCTTAAGGACCTATTTTTCCTATTAAATTTGAGATGTTAATATTAGTTGTCTGATTAACTTTAAAATAAAAATTTAAAAAGATCTTAACCACTAATAGCAAAAGTCATTTTGTTTATCTTTTAAGATTTAAATTGTATTATATTTTATTATATAAATAACTCTGATAATACTTATTAGAATATAACTCTGACACCACTTGTTGGAAGCTCTGATACCATTTATTGTTTTTCACAATGGATAATTAACAAAAATAATACTTATTATAAGATAAGAATTCAAAAATAAAGCAACAATAAAAATATGACACAAATATATAATGTGGTTCTATATAGAATACGCACCTTGCTACACTGTACCTACATCCACGGACCAAAAACCTACATCGACATATTATTCATTGAAAAACTAGTCATTTGGTAATCGATTACATAATACTCAACCTTATTTATAAGGATAAAACATGATAACCCGAATTTATTCAGACAAAACTTGATTTTTATGTTTCCTATCACATGTTTAATATACATATTCATCGTATATTAAAACTCTTCCACTATAATCCTACTGCATATAAGATTCTCACATTGATTATTAAATAAACTCTCTTTCATGATAATTAGAAAGTTTTGATCAAATTCTAACACAACTAATGGGCAAAACAAGCCTTTTAGCTTCCCCGAATGGAATTCATATCTTCTTTGTCTGATCTACACAATCGAGTTTCTCGGTACAAAATGTATATAAATCTATTGGATGGAGATTAAATCTGAAAGGGTTTATATAACAACTTTTTTAAAAGAATCAATACCAACTCAGCTACTTATAATAAGAACCTGCCACTATATAACTGTTAAATAAATGTGTACGAGTTGAACCAATTTCAAAACAACATGATTATACAACATAGACACCCAACACTACACGAAGTATTGTCCACCCTACTTAGTTGAAGCTTCATTGACTTAATGGGCTTTTAATGGGCCTCGCTATAGTAGGCCAGTATTTAGAGTTGGCAAATGGAGACACTTAAGAGGCAATTCATCAACAGGAATTCATCCAATTCCGACCTGAGACAACTAACAAACCAGATTGGGATACAACTCGGACCGATCATAAGCCCAAATCTAACTTGGGTTGAGGTTTTTTTCGTCATTTATCGTCTATCTAATATTACAGCCAGTCGTTTAATGCAGAAGTTTCCAAAAGTTACGTTCTGTCCTAGATTTTCTCAGCAAATAATCACAAACTAAAAATAATATTGATTAACAGTTTAAGTTTCAATCAATCCTATGATTGTCAACTTCAAAAAAAGATCTCCCCATCAACTGATATGATAGTAGTGTACGACGTTGTCTTGTATACTGCAGCAACACTATCGAAACTTAATTTGAAAAACTAATTTTATGACCTTGTGATCGTTGGATTAGCAATGCAATCTTCTAACGAGTTAATGGTAGAAGAGTTAATGGTCACAATAAATCTTCAAATTTGGTACAATTTTTATGCATATATCATATATAGATCATAATTGAATGAAAGAGCCTATCAAGAGGATAGTATAGAATGGAAAAAATTCAGGGATTGTTTATTCTAACTTCACAATGAGTTCAAATGAGAGAGATTCAGGGGTTAATACTTCCCATTTAAGACTTTGGAACAATTAGAGAATTACAAAAATGAAACTATTCATTTGAGCAATAAAGGGCGATTCATAAAGTCCAACAACAAGTTTTCCAACAAGCTTTACAAGGAGCTCCAGGAACTTTGAATAATTGTTTGAACAACAGGCTACATTTAGGAATAATTTTGTTTCGATGAACCAACTACTCAATTACAAACAATAAACAATAATAATGTAATACATATTATACAACAAGTTTTTTTTATTTGAATTTTATTTTATAGGGCTCTAGGGTTATGGACTGAAACCATAGAGCTTTTCGATAAAACAGAAAAATTTGAACTGTTTCAAAGACCCAGCATGCATTTTATTTATTTTTTTTTTTTTGCATTGAGCTTTTTTATTAACTAAGTTAGTCTGCCATTGGAAAAATCTGTTTTGTTATTAATAGACTAGGAAGGGGAAAAAAATAACTAAAAGAAGGGAAATCAATTATTTGTCAATAAGACTTCGCACCAGAACCTGAATATATTAGGTGACCCCAAGAGACCTTGGGTTTGACTCCCTTCCAATTTCACAAGAATCGGAGTACCTCCAATTCACTTTTGAATGGACCACTCATGCATATGGTTAAAACTATTGGTGCTGCCAAAGTGCTTACCCTCAGATACTCCTTGGACCACTGTCTTCCCCATAACTTCTTGTCTAGTTTAACTTAATAGAGACAAGCCAATTTTCAATCGTTAAATTCCATTGAGATATATTTGAGTCCATTACTGTGATTACATAAAACATCCCTCAACAACAGTGAAGAACAGATTTCTCCTACATTGCACCCAAAATTAAATCACAATATAATCCTAGTGGTTGGAACCCTCGGTCTCTAGAGGTGGGGACCTAGATTACTCCAATACATTTACCTTTCATTTTCCTCTTTGATATGTAAATCACTTATATATAATGGGTTTCACTTGAATTCACGATAAGTAATCTTTCAAAAAAATAAAGGAGAAATGTATTAAAAGTGATCTCATTCCAGAGTGATGGTAGTAGCGGTTGAGCATATCTACCACAAATCCAACCAACTATTGTGATGATGCATTCACCCGAGAAGGATCCTCTATTGGTTAGGAGTCCAATTTTGTGTCATAAATCAATGCCATAACTGATCTATTGCTTTATTATTGGTTGATTATAATTCTACCATGGAATACGAAAGAAAAAAGTACAGCAAATAAGCCAGCATAGTTTTTTTTTTAATTAAAGGGACGTATTTTAGAATACCTCATAACTCTCTCTATTCTCTCTCTCTCTCTACCAGCCCTCGAACCCACAACCAAGTGGTTGAAATTTGAGCTCCACAACCACCGAGTTTTGACTCAAAGCTCATGCATAAGATCAAGATGTAGGCACATAAAAGTCCCTCTTTCTCACCCAGACAGTTATTAACTAGTTAGAAAGAAGGGTAATGGAGCCTAGTTATCAACCTTAATTTGCCATTATCGTTGGATTAGCAATGGGTCCGACATTTGATGAGTGTTAATTCATTCACGACACGAGATTAGATCAGCAAATTGAGTGAGCAAATTAAATCTAAGTATAGTATATGATGTCACACATTCATGATAGCCACCACATTGATGCAGAATGTGTTCATCACTATTCAGCAAGCTAGCTTACAATTACTTACTTCATAATGAAGGTGAACATAGCTCAAGAGAAACAACTGATCTTTCCCACAACCATGCATAGATCTTTAACAATAATATCAAAGTAAGAAAGTTAACAAAATACATTAGTGATGAACAACATAAAAAGAGACACCCACATTTAAATAACCAATCTCCCTCTCTTCTATACCATTATACCCCCTTCCCTCTTCCCTAAAATCAAAAGGGAATAAATCAAAAAATTAAAAAAAAAATGAAGTAAACCCCCAGCCCCAACCCTAATGACAAACACTGGATTAATGCATTACAAAGAAAGACAATGTTAACTATATCTACACAGAAAAGTTAAGACCAACTCACTTAGAATAGGAAAAGGCACCCAAGTTCTCCAAGACAGATCTTTAACACTCTTGTAGTTGATGATGAAACCTGGGCCGATGGGAGAGAGAAGAGGATCCAAGGTTCCTCTCAGAGCAAATAGGTTTGTCAACCTTTATAACAAAACACATAGGCTGATCTTTTGCAGCTGACATGATCTCTCAGATCCAAACTCTTCCCACCGATTCTTCAACCTGAATTTTTAGGGTGGATCTCTATTCTAACAAGGGCATCACAGGTTCGAGTTGCAGAAACAACTTGACGTAAAATTGCATATATCCAACCCTTCCACACCCCACAGCGTGCACTGGGTTGCCCTTGTTCGATTTCCCGGAACCATATCCAGTTCACTACAAAGAGAATTAAACCAACAGAAAACTAACAAAACTAAAAGAACCAGAAAAATTAAAAAGAGGAAGATCAAGAATACGGAAAACTGTATGGTCGTCTTGCTATATCAGATAACGCACAGAAGATCCAACGTTTGCAGGATCAAGCCAGGCACCAATATTTGTTGTGTTCCACAAAACAGAAGGATCAGATGAGCTGATCTGTTCGATCTGATTCGGGTTTTCAACATTATTCCAATCCAACCTGTTTTGACTTTCCTCCATTTTCACATCCTTCATCACTGTTTCACCTTCACCATTCCCTGTAATTTGCAGGTGTTCATAAGGTAGCAAACCCTGAAAGTTGTTAAATTTCTGTTGTTGAAGACTGGAAGCTATCAAGGAAGCCATTGTTGAAGTAGATGTAGAAGATGAAGATCCGAATAGTGGAAAGCTTGAAAGAACTGAATTTGAAGTCATGACATCTTGGATTTGCTTAGTGGGGTTGAACCCATTTCGATAATCATCATTATAAGCCTCACTAGCCATTAATTCTGATGAAAACCCCAATCCAACACCATTCAGCTGAGGTTGAAGTTCATACCCAGAAATCCTATCAACATTTGAAACCCTAGAATCGAACCTGGGGTATGAAAGATTGAGCTCAGATGGATTCGTGGGTAAGCCGTAGAACAAAGGATTAATATGGTTGGAAGAGAGATCGATCTGGGTTTGAACACTAGGGTTTGAAGTTGCTGTAGAAGATGAAGTTGAAGGTGCATCAATGGCGGAGGCTGATCTCCTGACCCTCTTGTTCTTCCTACAGCCACCACCGACTGGAACATTTCTTAGGGTTCCTCCTCTGGTCCAGTAACGCTTACAAGCCTTACAAAAGTGCCTTGGCTGAGACAAACTGTAATTGTTGTAATAACAAAACTTAGTGTTTGATGAATCACAACGAGGACACTTGAGGGGTTGTTGTTGCTGTTGTTGTTGGTCTTGGCTTGGTTTCTCCATAACCCTACCTGTTGAAGCCATCATGTTTTTCTCATCTGTATGATTCTGCCCCAAAGAGAGAGAAAAAGAAAGAGTTCAAGGTGATGTTTTAGGGAAAAAAATAACAACACGATAGAGATATTCTCTTCCAAAAGGTAAGAAACAAAAATGGGGTCACCGATCATGCTTTGTCTAATAATTGAAAGAGAGAGAGAGAGAGAGAGAGAGAAAGAGAGAGGAATGAACCTGTGGCCATTCATTAGTGGTTGACGACATGATTACCATCTTCTCACAGTTTCCTAGCATTTCGTCTAGCAAAGGAATCGTTGAAACAAAAGTAAACAGACAAAGAGCTGGTGGCGACGTCTTTGTTGGTGGGCTTGATATATTGAGGGGGAGAGAGAGAGAGAAAGAGAGATTAGCGGGAGAATTTTGATTGTTTAACTTTAATTTCACGTGAAGGGTCTATGTAATTAAAATGAAGTAGAATAGAATAAGATTGAAGACATTCTCAGTCCAAGAACATGACAGTGAGGTAAAGCAGCAAATTACAGATGAATCTCGAGAGGTTCAAGAAAGAGAACAACTACATGACACTGCAGAACCCAACATTACTACGTATATTACATTCCTTTATCTGATACAGATAGATATAGATAGAGGGAATCCCCAGAGCTCAACACCCGAGGCAGCAACACAGCAAATCCCACTTTCACTTTCTTTATATATACTATGATCATACTATATAGTAATATATACCCACCAAAAATAATATGTATCATATATATGTATATGTTCATATATATGGCAGATTCCCACTCATTTATCCTGCAAGTGATACAAGAATATTGTATGGGACTTCTATTGTAACAAATTAATTAGCAAGTTAATAGATGAAAATGGTGCACTAACTCTTTCTAAATGAGGTGAGAGAGTGGCTTAATAATAAGGGACTCACTCTCCTGCCAAGTAATTGCGGGTTTAAACCTTATTCCTCTCACTTAAATAACAATAATTAACTCGTTCCACGCTGTATTATATGTCAGCCAAATTCTATCTTACACTGTTACACAACATGTACACATCCAGCTTATATGATGTGCAGTGTTTGAATGTGTAAAGTACTTTCACACCTTTAAATGGTGCAAAATATCATCTAAAAAGAATTTCTGAGGCCGCTGAGATGAAGGAAACAGGAAAAAAGTAACACTTAAATTTCACAAAACTATCAACATTTGTTCCTATATAGAGTTATGCATAGTGAAAAACTCCAAGAGAAAGGGACAAAATAGCATGTGGGTCTCTGCATCACAGACTCAAACATTGTTCGACCACGCTTTATTCGCGAGGGCTCTTTGTTCTGCTTATTCTGTCTTCCCTTAGCTTCGATCCAATTTTGTCAGTCATATAAAATACATACAGTACACAAACACAAACCTACACACACACACACACATAGAGAGAGAGAGAGAGAGAGAGAGAGAGAGAGAGAGAGAGAGAGAGAGAGAGAGAGAGATTTGAACAGGAGAACCATAGGTTCAGACCCATGTGGAAGCAGCTCAGTGTTGAGGAAAAAGAAGAAAAAAGCAAAACACTGTGAAAGGAAAGGAAAACAAATGGATTTTGTAGTGTCCCTAGGGATCTTCTCACCCCCCCCCCCCCCCTACATCCCATCATCATAACCCTGCAGTTTTCCCCTTGTTAAACTTTAATCTTGTGGTAATTAAAATATTACTGACAACTGGGATCAGGTTCTTTGCAAGAATCTAATTACTTCACTTCAATATTATGATAACTAAAACATTACAGCCATATGGTTCTTTAAAGCCCCACCCATATTATGTCGTATACTCTTGCTTAATTTGAATTAATTTTAGACATTCTTTTGGTGACACGAAAGAAGTCTCTATTTCACTTCATCACTTTGAGTTGTGAGTGCGTATAATAGAAGTGGTAGATTTAGTTTAAATTGACACATCTCGATTATTAGATTAGCCTCCAGACATATCATAAATCGTGTTGAATTGTATATTAGAATTTTTTAATTGATGTTAACAATTTAACCTATAACAAAAAATACTACATTAGGTACACAAAAAATCAAGCTTACACTCTTCTCACTTGGCTGGTCCTTGACTAAGAAGACATAACTGGACTAAGGTGGTACTGGTCAAATCATAGATGGACGTGGGTCCTACCTTACACGCACACACTCTCTCTCTCTCCCACCCACCACTGCCACTGGACAAGAGATTCCAATTTGGCAAGCATGAAAGAAACCTAACGCGCACGTTAAAGGGAAGTTTTCTGTTCGGACAAGTGATGGAGAAGAAGATTAATTTCAGCCACTTACAGTGGAGAGAGAGAGAGTAGGGGGACCAAAACATCAAATCCAAGCCAATTGTAGCCATCAACGGCTGACCAAACGTGCAGACAAAGATCCTCCCATTTGGGTTTGGTTTTTGAATTGTTTTGGCCAACTTATCTGCCCACTCAACTTTCGATAGCAACATTTTTGCCGCTTACTGAAAAATATGGAAAATACTTTTTATAGCTAATTTAATAATTTTATATGATGGCACTATAGATCATAATAATTAAATTGTTAGTGGGTTTCAATTAATTATAGGATTTACTATCGATTTAATAACAAAATATAATAAAATTACTAAATAAAATTCATACATTATCCGAAAAATATAGTACTGTCCTGGGACTTTTCTATTAATTATTTTCTTGCAACATAACAATGGCAATCATGACTTTCAAACTTCATAATTAGCAGGGCTGCTTGGATTACCTAACAAATGTTGCTCAATAATAGGTCTTTTCTTCTCATTTATTACTGCACATACAATATTGGAAAAATTACACTCAAATTTTTTAAAATTTGTTATTTAATTATTTAAACCCCTTGACATTTAAAATATTGTATATAAACTTCCTGAAGTTTATACGTACGTAAAACATAGACTCCTGCTATTAATGTCAATTAATAAATTATTTTCAAACCCCTAAAATTTAAAACATTTAATACTTAGAATTACTAAGTTTAAAATATTATATTTAAACCAAATATATTTGAATTAAAAATAAAATATTAAATATTTTAAATTCTACAACAAAAATTTATTTTTTTTCTTAAAAAAATTATAATTAATACGACTGATGCCAAAAAATTGGATGACCTCCACAACAGTGTGTTGGGCTTCGATTATCTGAAAAAGAAGTCAAAGAAAAGAGGAATAAAATTAGCCCTTTTGCTGATAAATTATACTTACACCCATTCTAGTTTTGGATATTTGCACTGCACTCCTTGAACATGAAAACATAGTTATCAACCCCAAAGAATAGCTTAAGTAATAACAGAGACGAATTGCAAATTTAAACGTCCCGAATTCAAATTTTGACAACTCCTTGGAGTCCGGTCATGAAGAATTTATCCGTCATAAATACGCTAATCCCGACATAAATACACTAGAGAAAGGATTAATCGAAATATGCATAAATTAATTCAAACACTCTTCACCATTGAACCAAAAAATAAAAAAATAAAAAATAAAAATACAGTTATCCTCGGAACTATTGTCTCTCAATAGATATTAAGGGCATCTACAAACTTTTTGGGCATAATTTGAATAAATTTAGTGGGAGATAGGATGCAAAAAAAAAAAAATTATGCATCTGAGACAATAGTAACATTACGATATCCAAATTAATAGGGCACAGAAAGGTCCTAATACAAAAATTCAAATAAAACCCATCAATTTTTCACTCCTTTCATCCAACTACACCTCCATTATCTTTCCATATGGTTGTTAGAATGGACTGTGGCTTACGATATTTTCTACTATCCTATGTTCAGTGGGGTCTTTGGAATGTTGTGAACAATTTCCATGCATTTACATAGGACCACCAAACCAAATTCAATATATATATATATATATATATATATATATATATATAGAGAGAGAGAGAGAGAGAGAGAGAGAGAGAGAGATGTCATAGTTGTCTGGCATTGAAGTTTATTGGGAATTATTAGTTGAGATTCTCTTATTGTGAATAAGATACTAAATCGTCATCATATGCGAATGCTAAGGATGAAAAAAATGAAATAAAATAACAAACATGATAGTGGAAGTGTGAAGGGTCACTCTCTATCTGTTCAAAAAAAAAAAAAGGTCACTCTCTCTCTCTCTAAGCTGTCAACAGGTCCCATTGACTTTAACCTAATAATATACAACACATAATTGAGAGACACAAATTCTCTGTGTGATCTTTCTGAGATTTTTCTATATATTTAATTAATTACTTGCTAAGATCACTTAAAATTATCCTGATTTCCATCCCTGATTAGGTTAGTATGGTTAATCCAACCCAACGATGGTTGGAGTTTAGTTCATCTTCTTCTCCTCCTCGTAGGACTGATAATTGAGTCAAACAATTCGAATTCAGTTCTGGTTCGGTTCAAATAAGACTCAATTCGAACTCAACTCGTGTAAAAGAGAAGTAAATTAGTTCGACTCGTTTATATATAAAAAATAGTAGAGTTACTCGGGTTTTACTCATTTTCTAAACAAGTCGAACATGACAAATTTTTTAACCTTATTTAAAAAAATGAGCTCAACAGGCTCAACTCAAACTTGCAAAACTCAGCTTGATTATCAGTACCACGGGCATGTGCTTTCCCTTTTCTTTTTTTTTGGTGTATATTTATTAGTGATTTAAGTTTTTTGAAAAATTAATGGTTTGACGTGATATCAGAATTGGACTTCGAGAGAATTCGATTTAGGATAATTTATTTCAAATTTTTTTCCCATATCTTAACATGATATACTAGGCTGAACCACATATATTCATATTTCCCTCCATATAATTGCATTTTATTCTAGCCAATATCAAATAATCTTGTATAACCACAAATGATCATACAAAATCGATTAATCATGTCACATGTTAACAAACTTATGAAAAAAGGCGATGCCAAATGCCCGATTTGATACGAAATTTGCAAATTTTATTTAATTAATTCTTGACAAGTACCCAAAAATACAACCACGTCATTTCAATTTCAAACATGATTGATTAGATTTTGACACGACAAAACTTAGTTAGTTGGTGTTATGCGTAAACATGTCTTCTTCTTTTTTTTTTAATTTCTTAATTAGAGGATCTTTTTGGCTTCATTTTGTTAGCATAAAGATCAAGTAGATTTTCAGTTTGTAGGGGCCAATGGGTCGATGAGAGAGACACAAATCATATTTTTAGATTTTTATTTCACAAACTATACATATCAACCTGAAGATGACACGGGTCATAAACAATTCGAATTAGCATCAAGACTTCTAACAAAACTAATTAAATAATAAGTCAAACTTTGATTGACTAATATTGACCAGAAATTCAAAATGACACAACACGAATCAATTATCGTCCTTAATGTTATTATTACTTTTTTTTTTGCTATTGAAAAAAAAGGTAGGGATAAATGAGAGCATCAAGAGACTACTCTGATAAACCCTCACTAGTGGGATTATGAGATCTCTGACTGTGCCTGTTACACCCCATGAGAACAAACCTAGTCAGACTAGTATAGAAATCAACCACAAAACTCCAATATAAACACCAAAATTCAGAGCGAGAAATTTAACCGATACCCCAATTGGAGTTGCGATATTCAATGGAAAGCTTCTCATAGAATTTGCCCTGTCCGGTAACCATTCATGGTCAGCCCAAAGCTCTAAGGTCAGGCAGTTGGGCATAGCGGCCCAGAATTTAAATGGCAGTGGTACAACGTTTGCAGCGGTTGGCCGATTCTGCATAAAAATGTTGCAACGACCATGGGCTGATATGCCAGGAAGCCTATCCCTAATAGTTTTAGGGATGTCCCGAACAACCATGATTCGGGGTATCCCTAAAATGGGAGACTTACTTGGTAAGAGTTCCACCCATTTCCAAAATTCGAAGAAGGCCTACCTGAACCCATTTCCAAAAATTCAACCTTCTAAGGAAAAAAACATACGTAAGAGAAGGTTGCTCCGCCTTGCTTCATTGTACTAGAGTAATCCGAGAAGAATAATTAGGGTAATCTCGTCTTCCTAATTGCACAATCTAAAAAGATAAAAATTGTGCTTCTCAAATATCGTATCTCAAATGATGTATCAAAATTCTATACATTGAATGTTTGGTGAAAGATTGTAGGCCGCACTAATTCAACCACCCACACTGATTTATAATACAAAATTTGATAAACATAACATTACTCATTTGAAAGATTGAAAAACTATACCATTACTTTGGAATAGGGCTCGAGCTCGCAAATAGTCTAGTTTGAGTAACTCAACTATTTTATATATAAACGAATCAAACTTTACTAATTCGAGTTGAGCTTTTTAAACTCATCTTTTAAATGAACCTAAAAAATTATTCGAACTCAACTCATTTAAAATATGTTTGGTTCAACCTTATTTCCAAAAAAAAAATAAAAAATATGAGAACCACCTTCCATTCCCCAGTTAAGCTGTCAACTCCTGTCAAAGTCACTCCAATCTCTGCCCTTTGCCGTGTGCTGTCTGTCTGAACTCCAATTGCACCTGCCAAATAGGCACATTTGCTTCACTCTGATTTTACATCTAAGTGCACTTTGAAGTTACTTCCATGCATATCAGCTTGATTGACCATTGTTATTTTGGGAGTGTGAAATAAGCATGTCTAGAAAGAACTACAATGAGTATCACCCCATAGATTTCGATTCACAAATCTAAGTGGGACCACTGTATTCAAGTAGATCCGCATGAATTAGGGTTGATAATTCAACTGTATTATTTGTGGGTTTATGGTGAACAATAATCAACTCCAATACAATTCAGTTACTTAGCTGTCTCATGTTGACCTAACCTACCTATTTACGTATTGCGTTCGTGTTGATCCATATAATCCGTAAATAAAAAAATTAATATTAAAATTTTAGTATCACTTAATCGAAATCATACTCATACTTTTTTTATAAATTAAAAATTAATTTCATAAAAACGAGTAAAAATATTTTCTTTTCTGTATAAGAATTATGTCGATACTTGATAAAAAAAAATACAAAAAATTAACATTTTGTTCCTATAATACTAGACAAACGTATTAATCATGTCAATTTCTTGTTATCTGTAATTGACATTAACTTGACCAATTTTTATTTATGTTCAGAGTCGTGTCATTTACGGGTTCATGTCGAGAAAATGGCCAACCCCAACCATTAATTTCATATCGATTTTAAATAGTGTCAGAAATTGTCACTCATACCATCAATAGGAGATAAAATATTGAGTGTAACTGTTATATCATGTCAACAATGTTATATGGTATAACGATCCACTAATTGATAAACAAGTCAACAAATAGATCCCACTAAAACTCATAATTACTCGGTCATGTAATATATAATCACCTTCATAATAAGAAGTGGACCCAATTTTATTTTATTTTTTTGCTCTTTTCTTATTAAATGATTATGTCATGTCAACAATACTGACATGGTAAAAATTACACGCAATATTTACTCATCAATAAATAACTACCGATCTAAGATCTCAATGAAAATTGAGTAAAAATGTAAAAAATGTTATACAACTCAAATGAAACTCAAAATGTACGATCCAAATGCATATCATTTTTTAAAAAATTGTTGAATGAGTAAGTTATATTGAAAAAGTTAACAGGACCCATTTATTTAAAAAATAATATATATTTAAGTTATAATTTTTAAAATTTTATTTAAATTATGTGCCATTATTAAAAGAGATATATGAGGAAAGATTTCTAATAAAAGCCGCCGCCGCCGCCACCACCACAGAAAAATATAGAAAAATGTCGAAACAAAAAAATCATAATGAAGCAGTCAATACGGGTGGTAGATAAGAAGAATATCCATTGGTTTGAAACTTCAAAAATATTTAAAGTGGGCCCATTCTTCACTTTCAAACTAGTTTCTTCCTGAGTATTTTTTTCCAACCACCAACCTAAAAGATGAAACCAAAGTATATGGTTATTGGACAAAGAGCTGTCTTCGTACGAATGGGGACCAAACTCCATTAATATATGCTAAATGAAATAGATGTAGTTGTATCACACATAAAGGCCAGGTGGCCACATTGCTGCAAATCAATTGGCTGCACCAAATGTGAAAAAGATGGAAGCTACCACGAAAAATGCAACATAACTCAAATAAAATTCAAATGAAACCTATAAAGGATAACTCAAATACATATCAACTCTTGAATTAGCGTTGAATGAGTGAGTCCCGATGAAAAAATTGATAAGACTCACTTATGCAAAGGATGATATATATTTAAATTTTAATTTTTTAAGTTTCAATTGTACAACATTACTCGTGAAAAAGACATATGTATTAAAAGTCGACATATGCATGACACGTGCCAAATAAAGAGTGGACAATGTCATTAAATCATTGTACCATCCAAAAGGTTTTCACCTGTCAGTATTCAATCTTACCCAAGAAAAAAGGTTTCCAAGAGTCATATATTCCACATTCATCTGTGGAAAATAGTTGAAGTAGACCATAATATTATCTTGAATAGAAGAGAATCTGGAGGGGATGGGTCACAATTGTTTTGGTGGCAATGGACTAATGGCAGTAATTTGTAGATGCTGAGATAATGATGTGTGGGGGAATCTCATTCTGAAAGAAGAGACTACCATTGAGAGTAAGATTACGCGGTAAGAGACTACCACTGAGAGTAAGATTACGCGGTAACTCTTAACGTGCTTGTTACAGCTTGGTTTTTGAAAGAACAGACTCTTAACTTGCCTGGAGATAGAAAAGAAAGCTGGAAAATGGAAAAGTGTGTGAAGAAACTTGTGTTTCAGCATATACAAGTGTAGTCCTTAACTATGCAGACCAGCAGATCTGGCACTGATAAGGCAATAACAGCAGTGGAATTTGGACATCTATTTGATAATGCAACAACAGACTTGCAAAAACTGTAAATAAACCCTTGATATAGTTGGTAAGGAGTCTCTGTAAACACTTCTCACACCAATTCCTACTAATATGTCACGCGTGCATAGTACTGTTAAAAAAAAAAAAAAACCTCGACATATTTAGCGCATAAGGGTCCGCATTAGGGTCCCATTTATCACGCGTTGAAGGTGAAAAGTTGAAGCTAGGGTGAAAGAAGAAAAGGGAGTTACTTTTTTTGGTTTAATCCCTACAGTAAAATACATCTATCAAGTTAATGGAGGACTTGAGCTCAGCATAAACTCAGTTTCTTTAACCCCACTATTTGACTTAACACTGAAGAAAATGAATGGTGCTTGTGGTCCTCACAATCTTTTTTTTTTCCTTTTTTACCTTTCTCTAAAAGTCTACTTTCTTCATCTTAGTCTTGTACTTCCTCTTTCAATACTACTCTCTCCTTATTTCCCTTCTGTATTCCTGAGAAATGGACACAAGCAAAGCTGATGGGAAAAGAAGCATGGAGGATGAGATGAAGGAAGACCTAGTGAGGGAAGAGGAGGAAGAGGAGGAAGAGGATGAAGATGAAGACGATAACAAGAGGAAAAAAGCATTGACCCTCACCAGAAGGAAAGGATCCGGTGGCGGAGGGTCAACGCAGGTTTGTTGTCAGGTGGTGGATTGCACTGCAGACATGACTGGCACCAAGCCATACCACCGCCGGCACAAAGTCTGTGGGCCTCATGCTAAGGCTACAGTTGTCGTCATTGCCGGAATCCAGCAGCGTTTCTGTCAGCAATGCAGCAGGTTGGAAAATCCTAATTTCTCTTAAATTGTTATAGTTTGTATGTGTTAGCCTTTACTTGTCAGTTTATTCATCAGCAAAAAGCAGTCGAGTTTTATTCGATATAGAAATTGTTCCATTCCAATTAATCGACACTATAAGAAATCAGGGAAAGCCAGCGTTGAACAATCGCCAGAAAAACCAATTTCTGGCGCTCATCCTGTGTTTAAAACAACCTGGGTGCAAATCCAATAGGGATGCAAGATTTCCCATGAGAAACGAAGATAAGTCAGAAAGACAGATCAACGAATTCAACAGAAATGACTGGTTTTTCACCCTCGTGTTAAATCATTTAGATTTATGAATCATATTAATACATAATAGAATGAACCGCAATTCTATCCAGCTAACACTTACGTTTAGCACCAAAAACGCTAATCTACCAACAATCACAAATTCACAATGAATTATTAGAAATTCCCAAAAGCATGCCTACCTGTATGAGGCCTTTGCTCAGGGGGTCTCCTTGACATGATTGTTGATGCTAAAAATAAGTTTTTGGTAGAGCATGGATGTCAATATGCATTGTGGCCTTCCCATGACCTGCAAGACATTGAAATGAGTCAGCAGTCCTTACTGGTGGGGGCCTCAGATACTAAATTGATAATTCAGTACAGCGGATGAATTTATCATATAGAAAAAAGGGTAGTAGTGGGCATACCTTATACCTGTACAGTTGCCCCTTTTTGTACGGTGTCTGGCGGAATAGAGGGAGGAGTGATTCTAAGGAATTTTTTAGGGGTCTCCTTAGCCAATGCCTCCTTCATGCCATTTTTTTTCGTATAATCTCCATCATTACAGACTGCTTTAACTGATGCAAGAACTGGAAGGAAAATATTGGACTACACAGCTCAGATGAAGGTAAAAAAAGGTGAATTCCAATAGTTGGATATCCAAACACACTGTAGAAATCCAATCAGTAGCATCATACCATCTTACTGTGTAATTATCATGACTTAATGCCTCCAATCGAAGAAGTGTGTTAGTGTGATCTTAGAGAAAATTCTCTCACTCACAGTTCATTGTTATCAGAGCTTGAACCCAAGCCGAACCTAACACTATAGGAAGAAAATCAAGAACCTTAACTTGGTTCGTAGAGTCAGAAATTTCCCATTCTGCTCCATTTTGGCGTAAAACTAGATGGATACTTTTTTCCAGGACAAAGTTGTAGGAAACTCCATGTGATCCCTGATTTGAGAGTCAGACAAACATATGAATCAAGATGCTTTCATTGAGGATCCATCCTTTATTTTCCTTAGTTCACCCTCATGTTGGTCTTTTTTTTTAACGATGGGCAGGTTCCATGAGCTGTCAGAGTTTGATGAAGCCAAAAGGAGTTGTCGCAGGCGTTTAGCTGGGCACAATGAGCGTCGCCGCAAAAGCTCCTATGATTCTCATGGTGAAGGGTCAATGTGAAAAACTCTCTCAGATGGCAATAATGAATTCCCAGCAGATTGGAGAAAGGGAACATTTGAATAACTCCAGAAAGTGCCTTTCTAAGTGTGTCCAAAATACATAAGCTTTAGCATTGCGATCACTATGATGCCCTCTATCTTCTGTCAATCCTGGAGAACGTTTATGGAGATATTGTTACTCTTTAACTATATGTATGGAAGTTTATTTTCAATTTGGACAAAAAGCTTAAAAGCCGTCCACTCCAATGCTCTGTTGGTAGCTGTTATTGGCGGCATTCATTTTCCATCTGCCATCACAAAATTAGTCACTCCTTGAACCCAGAATAAACTAGTCTTGCGATCACTTCAGTAGCTTGCTAAATAATTTTCACTTCTCGAGTGACTGAAAATAACTGAGCCAAAGTATAGAACAATGTCTACCTATATTTCATGTTATTTTGTCATTATTGTAGAGCAGAGTAGTGTAGGCAGGGCATTTACAGAGACAAAAGGGATTGGGAGTCTAATACTCTCACAAGTGGCATACACATTTGGAAACTTGTACACTTGTATATGGTACACACACACACACACACAGAGAGGGAGGGAGAGAGGGAGAGAGAGCTTATCATGCTCTGATTTTAAACACCCATGTTAAAAAAAAATTCCAAAGTGATTTGATTCAATGTAACTTGATTTGCAAAGCTTTGAAGAAACATGTGATTCATGATAACTAAAAAAGGTAGAGCATGTGATTCGTGATGTGTTCATTAAAAATCCCATAGATTTTTCTATTCTTGAGTTCCCATTCCAAATGCAGCCAGGAAGAGTTCGAAAATAAAAATGGCAACCAGAAGAAGAGTAACCAATCTAAAGCTACATGGTAGGGCACCTTTCAACCAAATACAATATCATAAACCAAAGAAAACCTCATGAACTCTATCTACTTCCCGTTCTCTTGTTTTTAGGAGGATGGATACCTCGGAGTTTACGGCAAGCTTTCTAAAAGTTGTTATTGACCAGTATAGGATCCGGCTGAAGTTATCAAGGTCAAAGTACCAAAGTCCATAGATACCAAATAATCTGATTAGAAGTCGAAATTCTTCTTAGTCCAGAAAGGAAAATATTTTCTATTGTTAGAGGTAAATAATGTCCCCATTTTCGACTGGTAAAAGCTCAAGCTAACAAGTATGGAAACACAGTTTCAAAGTTGAAGGGCAGCCAGTGTGAAATAAATATCTGACATTAGTGGCATACCAATCTAACCTGTAGGTATTGGCTTTTCACAATTTCATTAATCACAACTTTATACTAGATCTAATTAGTTTGTAAGTCAAGCTCTGTTGCCATTGTAGTTGCCCAAGTTCCTACACACTACCAATTTGGCTTCTTGATACATTGTCATGATGCTTTCCTAGATACTTCCAACTAACCAGTTCAGATTTCCACAATTTACTCAAGCTCACATCCCATGTTACACTCACTCATAGTTCATACCCAGCAATTTCTTGTTCCTTTTGGGCAAAATCCTGTAACAAGCCATGAATTTTAATCAATAATCATAACATTGTAAACGCTACCCAATTTTTGAATCTTCAGAATATAGATCACTCCATGTCCTACAACTGAATGCAATGTAAATAATTGAATGAACAAATAATCCAAAGTAATCTCTCAAACCCAGATCAAATGTACCCACTTAGGCAAATATACAAATAGGTAATATGCGTATGATAAGAGAAATCAAAGAAGAGTAATGGAATCGAAAAGGCAGACCTTGACGGTATCAAATGGTTGAGCAATGGTGACAGTGGCAACGCCGGCAAGAAGACTTGCCTCATAGTCATTGAAACCCGAAACTACCGCCAAATCGTTCACTGTACTTTCTCAGTGACTACCACGACGTCGTTCTGATAACTGAATCAAGCTTTTGCTCGTTTTGCACTTGAGTCTGAGTTCCAACAATTTTTCAGACTCACCTTGTTTATATGGAACATAGTTAAATTATTCGAACTCGATTCGAGTTTAACTTGGTTTGGATTCGACTCATTTTTTTTAACTCATTTTTAAAAAAACCTTTCAAAGCTCGATTCGATTAACTATTTCAATCCTCTTAACAGTTTTGAATGTTGTATTTGTTCTATGGTAAATATGTAGTGTGAATTTACTAATGTGCAAATGCAAATTTCTTATATTTTTTCTCTTTGTCATTACAAGGATTTTGACCGATGGTCATTTTGTATGGTTAATGTCAGTAAGTACGATGAAATATAAAATTCGAACACTTAAAAAATTGATCTTAATATATTAAATAACAATTTTTCTTTTCGTTCTTTCTTTAATTATATCATTTAAAATTTATTTTTACCTATTATTTTCTTAAAAATATTAACAATTTTCTCAAACACATTATTTTTTTAATTTTTTTTAATATATGTATACTATTTTGTATGGATAACATCTAAAATAAAAATTATGTTAAATTACAAATTAATCAAATATTAAATGATAGAACATGTGATAGAAATGAATGATGTGATGTTTTTTAGGGGTGAAATATATAGAGGATAAAATTTAAGTTGCTAGGTATTTTATTATATAGATTATTATTATTTTATAAGTGATTTAAATATGGTTCTCAAAAATTATAAAAATGGGTTGGCGAAATACGCATTTATACACGACATATAAAAAAATTTTCAAAAATATAAGTGTTAGACACATTTTTATATACAAAATCTATTACAACTAAAAAATCACAATTTATAAAATATAACAACAATCAAAATTGATTTAATTTTTATCTATTTTGATCAAATAGTACAAAATTTAAAAAATATTATATTCTCTACATGACCCCTAATCACAGATAATTCAATCAAGTGACTCTTCGATGCTAAATAACTACTCCCCCGTTCTTAAATATCTGTCATTTTACACAATTTTGTTTGTTCCATAAACCAAAGCATAATTAATATTTTTTCTTTCAAATTTACCATTAACTTTTCAATGCATTAAATTAGGTGGAGGTTAAGTGTCTTTCATATTTATTTCTTTTCCAATACGTATTGAATAAAGATATTTTAGTCTTGTGTAATTATTTTTTACTCATATTACAGCTAATTAATAGCTTCATTAATTATTGTACAAAAACCTTAAACGATAGATATTTAAAAACGGATAGAATACATTAATTGACACCTACTTATCTCTTATTTCTATTACTACAAAATATCAATATCTATTTCTATTCTCGCCTATTTTTAACTTTAACCTCGAAGTTAGAAGTGATGGAATATAGTTGAATAATCGCACTTAATTTGTTATGTAATACTTATGAGATAAATAATGTAGGGGTTTGGATTTTGTTATATTTTGAGGTGGAAGTTAATTTTTTAGATAATTAACCTGAGATTAGAATGATCACATTATAACATTTTTGATATATTTAGGATATAATGTAAAAAATTTAATTTTTAAGAGTATAAAATAAAAATTTTGAAATATCTATAATAATAAGATAGAACCAATTTTGATTCCATTTTCACTTTAAAATTTATTTCAATTTTAATTCATTTGGGAAAGCATAAGAACGGCTCAAATTAAATCCACTTTTAATTTAAAGGTCCAAATTTCATCTCAATTCTTTCAACTTAATCCAAAGGCTCAAAATACATCCCACATAAATATCATTTCCCGCCCATTTTAACCCCCCACACACACTACCCCAGTCCAACACACAACCCCAATTAAGCGTACTGTCTTCTTCTTTCTCACCTCTCGCTCAGTACCTCTCTCTCTCTCTCTTCTCACTTTGTAAGCCACCAAGAGAGACAGACCCACTAGAGCCGAAACCACCAGCGTCATCTGCTGAAACCACCAGCGCCACTTACCGGGGTCACCATCTCCAGCCACTAGGTACTTTCTATTCCCCTCTCTCTCGGTTCTCTCTCCTCCCTATCTCTTCTCTCTCATGCGTTTGTTAACCCATTTCTCTTCCCCAATCTCTATCTTATCTTTCTCTCACCACTCTATCTTTCCCTCTTCACTCTCTTATCTACTAGCCTGAACAACGACCACCACCATGGAGACCCACCAACGACCCCGCCAGTAGCATAACAAAAATATAGTTCAATCTGTGAGCATTATCTAAGAAAACTTCAATATCCTTGACACTAATGGTATGAATAGGGTATCGCCAGATTCCCCATCCATTTTCTTGGATTGGATCACTTTGGGTGTTTCAGTTAGTGTACTTGAACTGTTTGTTAAAATGCCTCTGAGAGGTACTCTATTGTTAAATATATCATGTTAAATATATCATGTGAACTGTTAGTGTTTTAGTTTGAAATTGAGAGATTGAGACGACATTTATCTTGAATATTTGCGAAATAAATATATCATGTGGTGTTTCAATTGTCATCATTTGGAGCAATGTGTCTCTTTTGTGTTATCGTCATTTGGAGCAATGGATCCCTTGGAACTTTGTGTAGGTGTTGCTTGATCAATATCTATTTGATAGCTGAAACGTACGTTAGTTATTATCTTCATTTTGTTATTGCGCTTGAGTGGGTTTCATTTACATCTAAATAATGGTGCTGCTCCAAATTTGTGTGCACTGTTAGGGTACAGTAGCTATATTTATGGCCTTCCAAACATTATATTTACATTGAAGAATCATCACAAAAGGTGTCTGAAGGCATTATGTGGTTTTGGTGTATTTGTGGACAGTTATTTGGAAAGTGGCGTAGGCACGTGCAGAAGGTGTTTGTTGTATTGCTTGCATGAAAAGAACTCGAAATTAATGTATTCAAATATTTTTGGTAAATCTTTTTGTGGAATCGAGTTGTCTGAGTTTCTGATTATAGACACTCTCTTACTCCCTGCTATCTTTACTGAATTATGGGTTTCCTTAATTTTGTAGGCAGGCACATTGACAGTCACTGCAATTAACAGGATACAGATAAAAAATTTAATAAAGAAGAGGAAGAAGGTGGGTTCGGTTTCTACTTTCTAGGCTTCTTTGTTTTATGGAAAATTAGTTCTTTCTAAACCATGATCCACACTCATTGCGACATAGTCTGTTTGATGATATTACTGAGTTGTCGCGGTAGTTGATAAATGATTTTGTTAAAGTAGAATTGGAGTATGCTATTGAATTCGATAAATGAATTGAGTCATGTTTTCTTTAAATTCTTGTGTTTTTTAATGATAAGTAGATTTGTACCAATTCTCATGCACCTCACTTGCGCACACAGCACAATTCTTGCAATAAGGTGAGTTTGAAGAGGCTATGATTTTTATTGTTTGGAAATTTTCACGAAGTGGATCGATTGGTTGGGAATGGGTTTCTTTGGTGCATGGTTGGTGGTTTGATTATTTACATAGAGACTATGACATACTATTGAATTTCTATATACGCTACGAATGGTGTAGATAAGGTATCATGAATGAAGTGAGTTTATTATTTTTCTCAAATTTTATTTTCATGAATTTCATCTCAATTAACACACCATCTTTTTTGTTGTTTGCTTATGTTGCTATTTTAAATTGTTTTAGTTGAATATGAATTTTTTTGTTCACTTAAAATTCTGATGCTTGGATTAATGTTTAATGAGTCCATTGACGGTGGTTCACATTGTTTCATGTATTATAGATTTTTGTTTTCCCCAACTCATGGAAGGCTGAAAATACTCAATAGTTCTCTATGGGTAGATGGATTCTCTGAGATACTTTACCATACATACTGTTTTGGTTTTTGTTTCATTGCTAAGGGTTGCAATTTTATTATTGACCGATACTTCAAAATATGGAATGTTCAAACCAAATGATTCTTATTTATGTGAATTTATTTGGTGGTACGGTGTATTATGAAGATTATTATGTATGATTGTAAGTTTCCGTAGACATGTTTATATTTTTCTCGGCTCTTACTTTTAGATGAAATTTTATCGAAATTTTTGAAAAATAGTATGGATTAGTTTGATTTCAATCTATAATAATAAGATAGAACTCAATTTGAATTTTTGTTCGTTTAAAAATTTAATTCAATTTCAATTCATTTGGGAAAGTACAAGAACGGTTCAGATTAAATCTAATTTTAATTCAAATGCCTAAATTTCACCTCAATTCTTCTGATTTGATCCGATGGTTCACATTTCATCTCAAATAAAAAATAAATCCCGCCCAAATGAAACAAACCCCTACACGTTACCCATCTTTGCACTATTCACCAGTCACCTCCTCTGCCATGGCTCATGGCTTAACACAGCGGTACCCTTACACGCTACCCTTACACCGTTACCCAGACCCTTCTTACTCATCTGCCATGGCTCTTCGGTAGCACACACCATTCACACCAACGTTCTCAGGGGCATCACACACACCAGCGGCGACCAGCGACAGCTCAGCCCAGGTATTTTCCTCTCCCCCTCTCTTCCTCTCTCTCTCCAATCGCTTAGCAGCACACACACCATTCATATTCACACACACGAATCCCTTTCACCAATGACCGACTTTTGAAACATGGGGTTTTTCATGACATTGCGCATAAACATGGGGGTTTTCAGGCTAAGAGCAATTTGATGGGGGTTTTCATGACATTACACATAAACATGGGGGTTTTCAGCAGCACACACAGCGAGGTTTTTGAAATTTAATGGAAGAAAGTTCTCTAAGGACAGAAGGTGGTGGACCTAAGTGGGTTAGTCCCATCGGGTCTCTTCACTCACCCGGGTTCATGGGTTTCATGCCCAAATTGTCAGCTTTGTCCTTGGAGAACAACACGTTCTCGGGCATGATACCGATCCAATACGCATTCAAGACGTTGGTTCCGGTTACATTTAGATTGGGTGTCCTTTAAGGTTTTTTTTCTGTGATGGTGTACAGAAATCTTCAATGGAGTGTAGGAGCTTTGATCCTACCATTCCTTGAACAGTGTGAACAAGGTGTGAACATACATCAAAATGCTTATGAATGAGTTATTTGCATCCCCGCTTATTAGAATTGAATTTGGGAATTTGAAGCAATGATCAATTAAGTCCTTAAGTTAGAAAACAAACTGACTTCGTTTGTACATCGGGTTCTTGGATTATGTATTTGAGTGATAGTTAAGTAAGTATTATGGGGTACCAACATTTTGTAAGTAGAACCAAAATAAAGCATAAAACAACAACTGAAAAATCTGCGTTCATAAATCACATATGAATGCCTAGATTTTTTTTTAATTGATAAGAAATTCAGTACATCACATACTAAATGCAAAATCAGCCTTCAAAGCCAATGGAGCTGCGTCCGCTTCAGCCATATGTTTTGCGATGCTTCTGTTTTTCCCAGCAATACCCTTTTTTCCCTCTGTTTTTCATCTTTGGCAGCAACTTTGTTTTTTCTCTGACTATCCACTAGACCGCTATTCTATGAAACATGGATACTCAAGGATTTGTGGGTTTGACTGTGTGTGTTTGTGTTGGAGAGAGAGAGAGAGAGATGGGGTGTACCTAGGCGTTTGATTATGCATTTGATTTTGTCTTATTTTGAATTTATGCATTTGATTTTGATTTTTTTTTGCTGGTTATCTTTATCTAATTGGCTTTAATTTTTCGATCATAAATAGTTGAGACATGATTTTATCAAGTGCGGCGAGTCATTAATATGTGATTGTGAAAATTCTCGACAATACTGTAGGCCGTCACCTCATTTTTCTAATAGTTTAATTTGGGCCTGTTTTTTCACAGTGCCACTTCTTATTTCTTGAGTTTTCTTGGACATTAATACGACATTTTCTATAATTGCCCGTATAAATGCATTGGATATTTTTTTATTTGTTTGGGGTAGAGGACATGCCCTTAGGTCTAATTTCCCTTTTTTAATTGTTCGGATTAGAACTATAAGCTATCACTGCTTAAATTAAAATTGTGTGAATCAACTAAGTTGTGATTTAAATTAAAATTGTTTTTATCATGATCTTTTTTTTTTCCCGGAAAGTATGATTTCTGGAGTTTCCAATAGGTCTGTTATTGCTTCAAGTATTTATATTGGTGGTTGGACTGATACGGAAAAAAATGTACTCTGGCCCTAGGCGGAATATAAAGAATGAGAACCTGATAAGAAACCTTTGGTTGCAGCAACAAGGTTATTAGCAATTGTCTGCATTTTGTGAAGGCAATCAGATATGGTGTGGGACCATTTCTTTGTGTTTGAAGCTGAAGGCATAAAAACATACTTAGTGCAAGTGACTGAGATGCAAACAACACAAGAATTGGTATGATCCACTAATTTTTTATTTGTAATTCTATTTAAATTGGATCAGGGTGTGTTCTTTGTTAGAAGAGAAAGTTTGTTTCATGGTGGACTGTTAGTCTACAGAGTTAAAAATCAATCCTTTACCCTTTTGGTTTCTAAATCCTTTACATACTTCCACCGACTTGGAGATTTTATTCTACTTTTTTATTTTTATTTCCTAGGATTTTTCTTCTGTTGAATGGGAGTTAATTTTCCAGGAAAATTGTGGCCATGGGAAAGTCGTTGAAAGATTCTCTTAAAGCTCTCGAAGTTGATATTCACCTTGCCAATACTCTGTAAATCTCTCTCTCTCTCTCATTTTTTTTCCATTTGTTTTTTCTATCTCTGAATTGAATGTTGTTGTAAAGCTTTATTATCCTTTTTTTTTCCAGCTTTGTTTTCGACCGATAATCATGGAAAATTAGTTACCAGTACTTTCTAAATCTACTTCTTTGTCTCTGATTTTTTTAATCTCTTTCTAAAACCACCTCTTTGCTTCTGATTTTTTTTTCTTCTTTTTTTTTATATCTTTGATTGAAAGTTTTGTGAAGCTTTGTCATTAATTTTTTTGTGCTTTGTTTGACTCAGAATCATGAGAAATCTGTTGGGGAGCTCTTATTCTATGTTGTTTTAAATTCCATAATCTATAATAATAAGATAGGACCAATTTTGAATCTTTTCTCAATTTAAAATTTAATTTAATTTAAATTCATTTGGGAAAGCACAAGGATGGCTCAGATTCATTCTAATTTTAATTCAATGACCAAGATTTCATCTCAATTCTTCAAACTTAATCCAAAGGCTCACATTTCATCTCACATAAACAAAAATCCCGCCCAAATCAAACCCACCCCTTACACGTTACCCCTTCCAGTCACTTTCTTTGTCACGCTACCCCTTCCAGTCACTTCCTTTGCCACGCTACCCCCTCCAGTCACTTCCTTTTCCACAACAACAGCACACGCTACCCAGACCCCTTACCCCTCTACCCCAGACCCCTCTTACTCCTCTGCCATGGCTCAACGGCAACACCAGCGACGATCAACACCCATTCACCAATCTCACCAAGCTCAGCCCAGGTACCTCTTTCTCCCCCACTCTTTCGCTCAGCACCCTTTTGGGTCAGTCCTTTCTTCTTTTTCTGTTCAATTTTTGGAGGTTGGTTGAAGTTTTGGGTCAGTCCTTTTTTGATTAGTATGCTTTGTTATTGGGCTAAATTGGAGTTTCTTCTTCTAAGTGGAAAAAAAATACCCATTTCTGAATCAAATACCCACTTCTAAGTTCATTATCACGTTCTTCTTTGCCTAAGTTAATGGGTTTTCATTTTTTTTTCCTCTTTATCAAATGAATCATGTGTTTGGTTGCTTCATGGAAAAGGAAGTTGCAAAATAGACAATTCATGGGATTAGAAAAAATTGATTTTGTTTATTGGAAATCCAATAACTTTGCGAGAAACTCTTATTGCATTTCAAAAGCTGGCTTTGCTGGGTTATCAGAGATCTTTTATTAAAATGAATTTCAAAACCCGCATGTTCTTTGCCCAACTTCTTGGATAATTTAAATGAATTTATTTTGCTGGGTTATTAGAGATTTTTTTTTCCCGAACAATTTCTTCCATCTGCTATTCACAAATTCCATTAAAGCACTGATATAATTCCATTAGTATTTTAGCTTTGTATTGGGCTAAATTGGAGTTTCTTCTTCTAAGTGTGAGTTCATTTTCACGTTGATTGGAAAAAAAATGAGATATGATATATGAATCATAATTTTTTTTAACTGTGTAAGATTGAATTTACCTATGAAGTCTGATCTAGCTTTTAGTATGAAGTTTTTTTGTTTATTTGGAATTAAAGGACACCATCATTTAAAAAAGTTTTTGTAAATGAAGCAACCAAACACATTCTATAGTGGTCGGAAGTTGTCAATTTCTTTACTCTAATACGTTTCTACTTTTATTTGTGTTTTTTTAAATTTATGGTTCTTCCATAATTTTCAGGTTTGCCTCCTCCATACTGAGAGTCAGTCTGGGGTTATATAACTACTCCACCTTGGTGCTCTGAAGTGAGAGTTTTGGCTTGATTTGCTGAGTATTTTATCTGCATTGGTGATGTACATATTATTTGTGGTTTTGAATATGAATTTTAGTATTTAATTTGAACCCCTGTGAATTTTTGTTTAATTTGAATAGCCTAATGAAATTGATAGGTTCATAGACGTGTTTCAGCATATTAATATGCATACTTTTGATGAGATATCAAGTTGTCAATTTTCAATTGGAATTTGGATGCTCTAAATTGATTTGATAATTTTGGTGTTCATTTGAGTGTTTTTTCAAATAAGTTTGATAAGTTATGTTGTAGCTCGAATGTTATAGTTTGATTGTTATAGTTTGGGTATTTTGAATGTTAAATTGGTTTGAATGTTATTGCTCCATTGGTATATAAAGGTTGGTTAATTTCCAACTCTTCTGTGGAATGATGGGTCGATTTTTTTGATAAACATGTGTTTCTATTGCCATTAGGTTCAATTTGACGCAAATTGAAGGAAATGTTTGCTATGGTTGAACTCAAGCGGTGATCACGATCACTCGACACTCTCATGTCGGGAGGTAATTTTTTATTTATTTTGAGAATAGCTAGGTTATTTATTTTTAGTGTCATACCACTTTGAATGTGATCTATTTTGTTTGAAATCTATAAAAGTTTACGGGTTTTAGAAACTTTCTCAATTAACTATTGATTATGTCTTTAAGTTTTATTGTAACTTTTTGTTTTGTGTGGCTTTGAGTTGATGTTGAAAGAACCCCTATCACGAAAGGAATCCTCTTAGCTTTGTTTTCCCAATTTTTCCGTTACAAATTAGTTCTATTTTTGTGCTTCCATTTGTTTTATTGGGTTTAGACAATTGCTTACACGCTTCCATTTTCTCGCATTTGCTTTATTGGGTTTGCAATTCTTATTTTCTCGCATACGCTTATACGCTTCCATTTTTCCTTTTCTTTTTGTCTGGTTTAGTGTCCTACGAATATGACTAATTCATTTTCTTTCCAGTCTTCAGGTTGATTAAGTCACACAAAGTTGTTGTTCTGATAGCTTGATCAATGCATGGCTGGACTGTAATTCTTTTTCATAACCAAGGAATCTTATATTGTTAATTTTTGGAGATGACTTTGTTGAAATTATTTGAAAAATAGTAAGCCCATATTAATTTAAACTTATATGCAATTCAACCAATACTTGAATGGGGTTAACCAATAGTTAGGTAAATTGTTATGTTGTTAAATTGTTGTTTTAAGGATGGACCATGACATGAATGGTTAATATTATGGTGTTAATTTGGGTATGATTATGAGATATATAATCTTTGTATACAGGTCGAGATTTTTCTAAATTATTATTTTTAGAGGAAATTATGACGATTTTTTTAAAAAAAATAGTGAAGACTAGATTGATTTCAATTTCTTTAATTGAAGCAAATGAAAGAAAAATTGTTTCAAAGTGACGGTGTTTTTTCAGTTATAAAGTGCCTTTAGGCACGGGTTATTACTAGTTTCAGATATAAAATACGAAAAACTCTTTCTATTTTTTTAATTACTTGTTTGTGAAATTTAAAAACGGGAAAAGGCCAACTTAGACAACGACGACGTCTTCTGTTATTTTTCTTACCTCGGTAATCGCAAACCTTAATCCATGTGCGGCAGATCGTTTTTTCTTCTTCTTTTCTGCACATATATTACTTCAGAAGCAAAACAATTTCAATTCAATCCAATCCAGTCGAACTATATGCAAGTTCATAAGGAGACCCACTAAGCTTACACGAACTAAGCTTACACGAATTTTCCCGCATGGATCCTCCCGAAATCGTCGATATTGCCCGCAAATTTGCCGTCATGGTCAGAATTCAAGGCCCTGTATGTCTCTCTCTCCCTCTCCCTCTCTCTTAACATCTTAACATATACATATATGTTTGTGTTGGGGGGGGGGGGTTGGGGGTGTGTGTTTGTTACAGTGTCTGTCTGTGTGTTTGTTTGAGGGTCTGTGTGTATAATCTATGCTTCTTCTTTTTTTCTAGTTTATGGAAACTCTATTTTGTTTAGACTTTTGATTTGCTTGTTGCAATTGGGTTTCATTTTTTTCCCATTAATTTCAGGATCCAAAGGCTCTCAAGATGCGAAAGCATGCCTTCCACAATTATCAGTAAGTGATTTATGTATGTCCACCTATTTAATTTTGCCAAAATTTTAACAAACATATGTGATTATTTAGTATATTTGATTCTTCATGCATTTATTTTCATTATTTAAGGTTGTTTTATTGGTTATCATATTCTTGTAGCTTTGGCAAAACAACACTTTCAGCTTCTGGAATGCTACTGCCTTGTTCTATTAATAATGCTCCATTACTTAGGCAACTTGGCGGCGCAATCGATACACAGTCCTTACCTGGTTATGGGTTGGTGTTGACTGTTGCATCTGTTATTGAGCCGTTTCTATCACAAGAACACAGAGAGAACGTATCTCAGGTAGGAGCTGTTTATTATGACTATCGATGTTTATGTAAGACTCTATAATTGTCTGATTAATTTTTGGTTCTGCTTCTTGAATGAATGGTATACATATATTTAAACTTTGGTTCCTATTTCTAGCAGGCCAAACCCGAATTGATCCCTGGTGTTCAGATTGATATAATGGTAGAGGTAAAAATGTTTCACAAGTTCGTGTTAGACTAGTAGACTGTTTGATGAGCTTAGTTTAGCAGTTTTAGAAATGATACATGTATGCTTTTTTGTATAGGCAAAGAAAGGGGTGGATGATGTTATTGAAGTGTCAGACAAGGGAGCTCCTCATTGGTTACCCACAGAGCTTTTAACATTGGTAGACATTCAGCTCATGCATTTGTGGTGTTGGTTATTTAACATGCATAAGAATTATGCTTTGGCCTTTCTTCTCACTCGGTGTTGTTGTTGTCTAGGCTGTATCTCTTTCTTTAGCAATAAATCAATGCACATTTCGCTTCAAACCATGATGTTTACCTCCAATATTAAGCTTGTAGACTTGTAGTTTGTTAGGATGGTTATGATACCCTATTATTGGGGGGGCAATAATTCTGTGTTTATGTTTAGTTTCTGTTCTCTGTCTCATTGCTCAAATATCTTTTGAGATATGCTAAGTAGCGTTTCATACCATTGATGTGATGTATGTTGTGAAGGTCGATATTCCTGTATCATCTATTGCTGTTCAATCACTTATTGAAGCTTCTTCTGGTTCACTGGAGCATGGTTGGGAAGTTGGTTGGTCCTTAGCTTCATACAGTAATGGTCCTCAAGCTGTTATAGATGCTATTCAGACACAGGTATGAACTTTTCTGGAAAATAACTTTCGTCTTCTTTCTCTGCCTTTTTTTTTCCAGTAAAATGTAAAAGCACTAGGAAACGGCCTAGAAAGTACCATTACAGTCTTTGTGTGTGTTTTCAGTTTTGCACTAGTTGTGAATTGTAATCCATTTTGAAAATTTGTTCCTCACAAAATAGTGGTAGTTCTAGGATTAGTATATACAGAAATATCTAAAATATTATGCATCCCTGAGCAAGTTTGAAAATCAATATTTCTTTAGTTGTAGTGATGATGGGCGTGGATCTAAAAACATCAACCTTCTCTACATAGTTCCAGACGTATCTTTTGGTCCAAAACCAGTATACATCCCAGGTAGTTCCTCGCCTTGCTTAGAGGCGGGAGCCACCCTTTAGGACCTGATTGGAATAGGGGTATGGTGATACTACTGCACAAGAATGCACAATTTTCAATTGCGGAGAAATCCTTGGTTGATTCACATAACTAATTGCCAGTGATCATCTATACCTTGGAAGTTATGTCAACAACATGAGACGTTGGGGAGCTTACACTTCTAAGTTGGTATCTTTTTCATTTAATGGATGACAAGAAGTCAAAGAGAAAGATCATGAAATCTGGAAAACGATTTAAGAAGACAATTGACACTTCATATTGAATAGAGAAGCGAAGCAAGACAACATGCTTTGTTCTAACCTTTTTCTTAGAGAGGATATTTATCCAAATATGCTTGTTTACTTGGGCCTTAGAAGGCCACTGATTTATTTGATGACTTTGAGACTTGTTGCAACTATTAGAGCATCTAACTAAAATGAGTGGAGAGACCCTTTAAGCGTATAAATCAACCATTCAACTTTGGGTGGTCATAATTATTCAACGTGGAAATACAAGCTTTCTTTACACCCTCACTCACGTGGGACTAACAAACAAACAGACAAACATGTGTGCAAGAAATTCAAATGGGTAAGAGACTTCACCCATTAAGCACCCAAGGCACAACTCTAATACCATGTTAGAGCATCCAATTCAAAACTAATTTAGAAATTAGTGGGGAGACCCCGTAAGCATATAAACCAACCTTGACTGGTTCAAATCATTCGGTATGGGATACAATCTCTTTTTACAGCAATAACAGTCGTTTCCACGAATGATGTCTGACAAGACTGATTGACTTATTAGACTTTTACGGGCTGTGGCCATGGATTACAGGCTACAGCAACTAATGTCCATGGGATAGTAAGAGTGGAATTCCATGATGCTGCCACTTGGTGTTCACAAGTTTGAATTATGATGTCAGATGGGCTCTTTTGGGTCAAATGAAAAAGGACACGGATTCTATAAACAATGGATAGGATGGTCCAAGTTTATGTCTCAGGTCAACTAGGATCAGATTATGAATATTCAGTAGTGTTCAATCATAAGTCAACTGGATCCATGAAGATTTGCAAATTTACAGCCAATGGTAAGTTTTCCGACCAACAGATATATGCAATGGTCCCTAAAGATTCTTCTCCAAAAGACACTTCAAATAGTCGACACCAAAGGTTTTGTTCATGTTTCACGCACTTTGAAATGATCATTCAGGTTAACCACTCTTCCTTTCAGAGACAGAGGCAAAAGGTTGGGGGAGAGTTGATCAACCCAAGTCTTATGGGGAAGTCAACTGCTAGAATTGCCCTTCTTGGAGTTTCCTCAACACTTTCTGAGGTATCATCATTATTGTCTACCTCTCTCAACAGCGTTAAATATGGTGGATAGCGCAAACCATTTTATGTAGTTGCCACTGGGATTTGCTTTTCCTTCCTGTAATTTTATTTTTATTTTGCACACTTCAATTGCATGCTGATGATGGTTACAGTGTAACTGTAATTTGTTATTCAGGATCTGCCAAACTTAAATACATCATCCTTGAATAGGAGGGGAGATCTTCTTCTGACAATAGGTTCTCCTTTTGGTGTCTTATCTCCTGTGCACTTCTTTAACAGGTATGGGTCCTTTATTGTTTGGATTTATTCCATGGTTGAGCCTCTAGTTAGTGTTTGCAATTGTTTCTTTTTAGTCCCCATGTCAGTGTAAAATGTGTCAAAATATGAATTTTAAAATTTCAGCGAGTTGTCTTTGGTGGATCACTTCCTCTCTTTCTGTACTGTCTCCTGTAAGTGAACTGTTTTTTTTGTCATTCCTTAGTAAATGTAACTGGTAGGAGTCTACATTTTCTGAAGTTATTTTTTGTTTGGTTGAACCATAAAAAGAGAAGTTTCTTTCGCGACTACTTAAACTTCAGAATCAGATAGATAATAGGAATATAGGATCTTGCTGTATGGTTGTAACTTCTCGTTTTGTGTTCTGATATGAACTGGTGGTTTGCTGTGGATGTTCATTAATTATATCTTTGCTGCTTGAACCAGTTTATCGATGGGATCCATTGCCAACTGCTACCCACCTAGTTCCACTAATAGATCACTGTTGACGGCTGACATTAGATGTCTTCCTGGTAAGAGCAATTTTCTGATATGTTAACCTTGATTATTCAATTCATGGATTCTGATCGCATGCTGACTTTAAATCTCTCAGGAATGGAAGGTAGTCCAGTTTTTGGGGAATATGCACAACTTATTGGTATCCTGACGAGACCGCTGAGGCAAAGAACTAGTGGTGCTGAAATTCAGGTAATTAGGAAATACACTGGGCTCTTCCTTTGGCAATAGGCCCTCTAATAGCCAAATCACAAAGGAACATGTCCCAGAAAATTTTAGAGTTATTTTGTAACAATTATTATTCTTGTTTTATTATATCTCATGGAAAATCATTATTAGAACTGCTGTTTTCATTCAGAAAGTATTATTCCATTATATTATGTTCATAAATATCCCTTTTAAACTCACATCCTGAGATATCTCTCTCCACAGCTGCTATTACAACTTAATCTCTAATTATGAATATGGGAGAATGCCTGATAGGATAGATACCTACACCGTGACAGATTCAATGTATGATTATCACAATGTCTAAAACGTGATAAGAAGTGAAATTTTGGATTTTCTTTCGATGAGCTTTTGTTAAGTATATATGTATGAATGTATGTATAAGTGTACTTATGTTTGTATTATTTAAATGTAATTACCCTGACAAAATGCTTTGAATATCAAGAGATCAAGAAGGCTTCTCAGTATTGAGTAGTGTATGTCAGATAATGAGTTCAAACTTCAATCACCTAACCTAGGTAATTGCTTGCAAGTTGTTGGCAAATTAAGGGTCTTGCATATAGAATATTGAAAAGTGCTTGTTGTAGCTTACATCTCATAGTACCGTGATACACAAATGGTAGCTTTGGATGACAGTTGGCAAATTAAGGGTCTTGCATATAGAATATTGAAAAGTGCTTGATGCAGCTTACATCTCATAGTGCCGTGATACCCAAATGGTAGCTTTGGATGACAGCTGGTGATTCCATGGGAAGCCATTGCATCTGCCTGCAGTGACTTGCTGCAGGAGGAGCCTCACAATGCAAGGAAAGGAATCCGTGATGACAAGGGAAAATTGAATGCTGTAGGAAAGACAGGCCATTGCAACGGCTTTAACTTAGACGGGTCCTTCAATCATACTCATGGCCATCCTAATTCTGGTTGTCGTCCACTATCATTTATTGAGAAGTCCATGTCTTCTATATGTCTTATTGCCATCGACGACGGAGCATGGGCATCTGGTGTTTTGCTCAACAACCAAGGCTTGATTCTTACAAATGCTCACCTTCTGGAACCATGGAGGTTTAGGAAGGCAGCTGGAAATGGTGAAAGAAATGAAAACAAATCAGAGGTTGTTTCCTTCTGGTCCAATGAATCCGTACCTCCAGGGCACGAAAACTTTGGTGGCCAGCATAGAAATCAGGATTTGCGGCGAACAGTACTGAAGGCCGCAGAATTCTCTGTGAGAAATGAGCATGGGAAATACAAATTCAATTCAAGCAACATAAGCCACAAAAGCATACGTGTTCGTTTGGATCATACGAACCCTTGGATATGGTGCGATGCTAGGGTTGTATATGTTTCAAAAGGCCCTTTGGATATTGCGCTACTACAGCTTGAGTTTGTTCCAGATCAACTTTGTCCCATTATTATGGACTTCAGATGCCCTTCCCCCGGATCAAAGGCATATGTCATTGGGCATGGACTATTTGGACCACGATGTGGTAAATATTTTCCTTATTTATCTCTCTTTGGTGTGTCTGGATATTCATTAGAGATGAAATCAATCCCCCGTCTTTTTATAAAAATTGAAGTGAAAATGTATCTTTGTGTTTGAAGCATATATATGCTAGGACTGCAGAATTGTTAATTTTTTGTTTTGGTTAGAACTTCTAGCTAACCCCAACTCTGTTCGCATTAGTTCTACATAATCGCTACATCTTGGATCTGTTTCACTTAGACTTCTCAACGTCTCATCACAAGTACCTTGCTGACAATTTTAGTTTTTAATTCTGAGAAGAATTTAGTACGAATGTGAAAAGTCATGTTCATTATTTTCATCTGTTGTTCAAGCCTGATACCTATGAAATAACTATGGGAAAAAGGAGGAGGGTATGGCAGAATGAGAACTATAACATTATAGGTGCATAAAACTTCTCATATAGGTGGCAAAATTCAAAAAATGTATTATTTTCTTACCCTAAACTATTCAATCAATTATGGTCCACTGCCATACAATTTCTATACTGTCTTCATGGTTTCCTTTCCATTTTCAAATTTACTGACTCTTATCCTCTACGCATTTGTCAAGTTCAAAGCATGGCTAATACCTAAACGACACACTTCTAGAGGACATACTTTTTAACTTTTAACTGCTATGGAAGTAGTTTGGAATAATTCTGTGCCCATTTGATATTCAAACATTCCATTAAAGAGGATGTCATTTCTTTTGGGCCATACTAAACAAATTTCCTATCAATTATATGTTTTTCTGATTGTTCTGGTTTTCTTTTGAATTTTTACTTCAGACTTGCTCCCATCTGCTTGTCATGGTGTAGTAGCGAAAGTAGTTAAAGCAAAGAGGCTTCTACACTATCAATCCAGTCAACAAGTGAATGTTCAAGAATATTTTCCAGCAATTATTGAAACAACAGCCGCTGTCCATCCTGGTGGCAGTGGTGGGGCTGTCATCAATTCAGATGGTCATATGATTGGTCTTGTCACAAGGTATGAGTAACAGAACTCTGCTGAAACAAAGGGCAATATTGTGTGCGTTTTGTACAATGTTATTCCTGCATCCCCAGCTTTGTCCATAATAGTCCTCAAGAAGAAGCTACCTAATTGATTGTTGGTAGGAAGGTAGGAAACAGTAGTTAGCAAGTTTGTGAGTTTGTGATGAAGACGGTGTTGAACCTTTAGTCGAGACGTGAACTCCGCCGTCCTTGTGACTTGTGAGTCCTGACCACCAGGCCTCACAACTAACTAAACTAGATGATGTCTTCAAGAAGCTAACTAGTTGACTCACTTAGCCATAGGTGCACTGCATGCTGCCTGCCTGCCCATCTCCTGAATATAGAAAAACAAAATGGGGGATTTTAAATAAAAACATCCACACCAAAATGACTAGATAGAAACTTGAATTTTTTATTTTGGGTTTTGCCATTTGGTTCCAATTTTACTTTTTTGTTGCTAGCCTGTATTGGAATATGATCCCTTCTACATTGTGCTGCAACATGATGGCCTTACTGATGATAGGTTGCAGATAGTTAATATAGGGGGGGTGCTGCTGGAGAGTGGCAAAACTTGTGGTTTTACTTTCTCCATTATTTCAATATGAAGTAGGTGCTGCAGAGTACCAACTTTATTATTGAACTGGCAACGACAGGGTCATATTATTGCATGATAGTGCAACTTGCATCACATATCTAAGACTTTCATGGCAAGCAGATTTAGCTTTCTTTCTAATAAGATATATGTTGATACAGCAATGCGAGGCATGGTGGAGGGACGGTTATACCAAATTTGAACTTCAGCATTTCCTGTGCAGCGCTGAAGCCTGTATTCAAGTTCTCAAGAGGTTATTTAGCTTTATCAGTGCCTAAAAGTAGTTTAGTTATCACAAGAAACTGGCCTTGATCCAAAAAAGATGCTCATTTTTGTTGTTTTTGATCTATTGACAAACTAAGAAGCACAAACACTTCTAAGAATGTGATTTTCCCACGTCGGAAAGGTGTTGGATACTCTTGACACATGCCCGATACTCTTTTGGCCATTTCTACTGTCAAGAAATAAAAATCTGAACTTTGTAGATGTGCCTGAGACTCCTTTAACGACATGTCTCACACTTCTCAGGCCATGTCCTTGACCAAAAATAAACATCCTGCTGATACTGCACGTTTTTTTTTCCTGTAAAGTCACTTCTAAGACACTTGCTGACATGTGATTGTCAAAATATGGAAATTTGACCATCTTATACCACGAAAAAATGTATACTTGTCAGCATCAATCATATTAAAACTTCACTAAATGTTATTAAAAAGTCCAAAAGGCACATATTTATTAAATAAGAGGGCTTGGGAGAATTGTAATCATATATGCTTGCTACACTTTGTTTTCAGGCAATGGTTATTATTTATTATTCTTAATGGTTTTTCCTTATCCCGTCTGGTGTTTGTGCTTCATAGGTGACCAATAATGGAAACAAGTGTAGTTTAGTCTTGATTAAATGAAAGGGAAAATACCATTTTGCCCCTAAAAGATACAAAAATTCTCAGTTTACCCCCTCTGAATGATTAATTTTTTCACATTGCAATGTGGTCCACCGTCTTATTTCCGTTTGGTTGTCTATTTGTTTTGTGTCAAATCAACCAATCATGAATCACAAAACAGTGGGACAACTAAATGGAAATAAAACGGTGGACCACATTGCATGTTTTTATATCTTTGAAGGGGCAGTGTGGAAAAATTAATCATTTGGGGAGTAAACTAAGAATTTGTGTATCTTTCAAGGGAAAAAATGAGATTTACCCTAACGGAAAAAATAGAGAAAAGTATGTTAATGAAAATAGAAAACATGGATCACTTGCACTTTGTTACCCCGATTCTTCTGGTGTTTTTTACATATATGCTGATGAGCTAGCTAGGCATCTAAGTGAATTCTGATTCCTCCACTTCAACAGACATGCAGTGTCTATCACTCCTAGAAGATCTTGACAAACCAGATGAACATCTTTCATCTGTATGGGAACTGGTTCCACCATTAGCTTCCAAGCCAGGCCCGTCTTTGCCCTTGTTACTACCGGGAGGAGACGATGATAAAGATATGAAGGGTTCTCGATTTGCTAAATTTATCGCTGAAAGGCACGAGTTGTTTAAGAAGGAAACTCATCTTAGCAGCAAGGTGGAAAGCCTTTCTACCAAGTTCATTCCCAGTAAGTTGTGATCATCTATCGACTTCGACTCATTCCCGGGCAAAAGGAGAAAGAGCATCAATGGCAACTGTAATCAAATTTTGAGTCCTGCAAACATAGCAGCAACACCAGCAATTGGGATTGTGTTTCAACCCCATTTTTGGTCTGCCTGAGCTGGTCTCAGTCAGAGGAGATGAATAGTGAAGGAAGAGTTAGTATCCATGGGACTGAACTGAAATTTGTGAGCTTGTACAATTTGAACAATGTGTGACATTTGAAACACGTACACCTAATACACACGCTTGTATGGCCACTGTTAATGGTCACTGCCTTGTTATACTGTAGATGTTGTGCTCAAATTAATACATACAAAGAATATGTAATATGCCAATCAAGATATAAGTATACAATGGACTGCATCCTCCAACTCAACATAATCTTATCATAGTTTTTTGAGAACAATTTCAGTAGAGGTGGAAAACATTATGTTTAACCCCGATGAATAGTTCAAGGAGTAATTGGTAGGCTGTCAAGCACATTGGATTTGGATTGGATTTTGAATGGTCCCGAATTTGAATCTGATTCGAATAGTTTAATTAATTAAATTTTAACGAATTATACCTAAATTTTATTTAAATAATTACTTAATTTTTTTAATATTTATATAAAAGACTTAAATAATTTAGATTGGGTCATAACTCGATTGGATATAGATATATTCAAATTCGAACCTATGAAATATAAGATATTGAATTCAGATTCGAATTAGAATTTAATCTATTGAAAAGCCTAGTAATAGGGGATGAGTTGTAAACTCAAACATTTTAAATTCGAATTTTGATAATCCCTTGGGCGAGATCATGAGAAATTTATTCTTTATAAATATTCTAGTCCCGCAAATAGATACTCTGTCTTTGACTGAATATGAAAGAGAATTAGTTGAAGTACTCACGAGCTAATCCGAATATCCCTGATCATTAAATAAAAAAATATTATGTTTAACCACAAAAATGTTGAGCTAATTCTACAGTTACTACAAAAACCTTCATTTTGCGTCCCTTTTACTATTTCTAAATTTATTATCAAATTAACTAATCGAAGTCATTGATACCGTTGAATTAGTAATGATCCAGGGCATGATTCACCATTAATCTAATGATAATAAATATTTAGTTAATAAATTTATTGAATTTTTAAAATTAAGGATTGTACCATTAAGTTCAAAAAATAAAATTACATGAAAATAGAATTGATAAAAATAATAATATAGCTAGTTAAGAGGTGCATAATTGTGATCCAAAAAAAAAAAGGTGAATAATTATTATTTTTTTTAATTACGTTGTTGCCTCAAAAATTCATTCCATACTCCATACATACATACATACGTACACCTATCTCTGTACATGAATGGGTAACTTGGAAATACATAAAGAAATTCGGTCAAGACCACAACGCACGGCCTCTGGCCCCCCCCCCCCCCCCCCCTCCTCTCTCTCTGTGACGGAGATGAAGTAGAAGAGGAGGCAACTCGACCACCTCCTCCTCCCCCTCCTCCTCCCTTTCTCTCGCTAGTGCACCCACTCTGCCACCACCACAGCCACCACAAAAAAGAGTCAATGCCTGCGCAGAAGAGTTCGTACGAGCCGCCTTCTCATCTTTCTCCTCCGCCACCGGAGGCGCTTGATGATTTGCTGCAACGATATCTAAACCACAGCGAACAAGGCGAAGATGGAGATGGTACGCATATATCGTGTTCGATATCTTCGATTAAACACTCTGTTCTCAATGATATCTCGACTTCAGAGTTTCATTCAACATTTCATGTGAAATTTGATTCTTGTTCTGTTCTTGTTCTCACTCTTCATCTTCTATACCTCTATGATTCAGATGGAAGCCACACGTCTAGCGGCGGAGATAAAGATGAGTACGCTCTCTCTCTCTCTCTCTCACCCCCACCCACACACGCATACACCCCCAAACAAACGCGCGCGCGCGCGCACTGTATAAGTGAATGTGTATATATATTTACTTATGTGTCGCTGTATGATGGTAATGGTGTATGTTAGAACTATGTGTTGTGTGAATGAATTAGCTTATTTTGGGATCTGCATGCTTTGTTTGTTAGCCCGATTGGATTATTGCATTTATTCGAAGCAATGTAGAAGAGAGCTCCGTACATGTTGACGGAGTATTCTAGTGTTTACAAATAATTGCTGTTTCATTCTCTGTATCTGAGAAAATGTTATGCAACGAAGGTTATCGTAGTATTCTTGTTGTCGTGATCGTTTTGGTTTTCGCCATAATTGCTCATTGCATGTTCACCTCTGTAATTTTGGTGGGATATTAGCAGCTTGACTTTTTGATTTAGTCATGTGGTTTGAGATCGCATAACAGTGCTTTTTAGGACATTTTTATTGCAGGCTTGTAAGGTGGTTGAGTTTGGGTTTGATTACTTGCGTTCCACTTTAGGTTTCTATATGCCTGACCTTCCCAAACATTTGGTGCTAAGTTAAGCTGAGGTGCGCTGAAGGGCTAGTTGCAGCAGATTTGAGCTGTAGGTTTGTACCAACTTCGGCAATGTGATTTTATCCAAATAAAATAACATTACTGAAGTGTGCTCACTCATATGACCAAAAAGGAAAAGGCAAATCTAGTAAGGCCTGAGCAATTACCTTGCAGAACTATCCTTGTTAGAGCAAGCGCAAAAAATGACTTGTCCGAGCAAGTATGATATAAATTGCACTCGCTCAAGCTAAAAGAATTGTAGAGTAATATTTTTTAAGCATTCAATTGCTTGCCTTATTATACCTATATAAATTCAAATGGGATGTGTTGTTTCATTCAATTTTGAGTGCTTTTGGTGAATTTGTGGGCTTCTACTGTTGTCGAGTCTTAATACCTAGGCTATCTATGAAGTGCCCATTTGTGGTTTCTCAGAGTCAGTGTGGTCATCAACCAAAGTAGTTAGTATGCCCTTTGTGCAAATTGTGTTCACGATGGAAATAATGTCTCCATGTGTGTGGGTGTGTTTTACCATATGGATGAGTACTTTATCGGAGAACATTTGAAAAATGTATTCTTGTTGCCTTAATGAAGAAAATCACCAAGTTATAATCCGTCCTTCCATGCCATGGGTGACGCAAACATTTAATGCAATGTTCACATGTAAAAGCTTTAGGGCACTACGATGTTGCTCTCTTTAGGGCAAATTAAACCACAAAACCTGCAGCCTCTGATGTTCAGTTTCAACCAATTTGGATCTTTCTCTCTGTGCACAAATGTGTTTTGCATTCACATTCCGCATAGTTCACCGTTGTGGTTGGCTACATGGTCTCGATGAATATGCATGCCGGAAAATTCAAATTGTAAGAATCCACTGACCGCTTAAAGCCTAGCTCTAATACCATATTAGAGCATCCAACCCAAACTCAATCGGCTAATAGTAATGATGCCTCTTTACCTTATAATCTGATACTGGGGGTTCTAATCTTCTGATATTGGGTACAAGCTTTCATCAATTGTCTCTCTTATGTATGGTTGTGGTAAACTTGCACTAGCTTCTGCTATTAGTTGAAGCAATTGCACTTCCAGGAGTTTTCATTTGGTTGGATTTCTTATCCAACTTGTTCAATGTACTTTTAATTTTCTTTTAATATAACGTATTTGTTTTTTATAAAAAAAAAAAAAAAAATACCACATCAGGAGAAATCACCCATTTTGTGGAAGACGTGTTATCATATGATATCTACTTTGTATCTAATTAATTTCTTTAAAATTTTGCTTTATTGTCCTCATGTTGAAACATAATATATATGACAAACCAAGTTTGCTAAATTTTAGTTGGTGATGTTATTGGCAACTTACATGGATATCTCAAGTGACTTTTGGTTCGCAGGTGCCCTTCATGTCAAAAGTTTATGTTTGGTTTAATGGTTGAATTTGATTTCCTTTGTTTAGAATCCTTCTCCAATGCAAGCTGTGGGATTATCCAGAAACACATCTGCTGTGTAGTTTTTTTTTTCTTTTCTGAGATTATCCTTCATTTTTTATTATACATGAAAATCTCAATTCATTCAATAAGTGGGTACCACATCAGATTACTCCTTCATTCAGATTAGTCTGATAATGCACCCCTACTAGTTTGTGCTGGGCTTCTGTGGTTGTCCTTTGTCTGTCATATTTTTGTGTGCATTGACGTGTTACAATCCTCGATCATCTCCCATTAGAAGATTGCAAGAAGTGCTAATTTTGTTTGTGGTGCTGCTTGTCTGCAGATTTATTCTTGTGAAATTGGCAGAAATCCGCAAGGAAGTACAGTGCCCAATTTGTCTAGGTACTTGTTTGGATTTTCATTTCTTTAATCTATGCCTTTTGTTTATCAAGATTGATACTTCATAACGAGTGACCGTGGTTTTGGGCTCTGATTTGATGTTCTCCAAGCAATAATTCATCATAGAGATACCAGCCAATGATGGGTGAGCTTTCAGATACAAATTCAGCTAGAAACTTTTCTGATCATAGTGGAGATTTTGAGTGAAAAACAAAAACAAAAACATAAAATATCTTTGTGATTTTTCCCAACAATTGATCGTTATAGACTCAATTTTCTGAAAATAGTTTTCGAAAACAACCATGAAACAATTTTTCAACCTCTTTCTCTGTTTCCTTTTCCTCTGAGGAAGGAAAACCTTTTTTGAACTGCTTTAGAGAGGCTCTATCTTCATTGGTATTTCGTTATAAACCCTTTTAAGCTTGGACATGTAAGTGCTGCATGCTATCTTTTCTATGATGGCATATCTTTTATAAGAATCATTCATTTGAAGCTAATTTGCTCTGATGTTAGCCCCTGATATGGAGATCTCAGTGGCATTGCAAACATCTTGCTGATAATTGTAGGCTTCAAGTTTGATATCCTTTGGCACATACTATCAATGTCATAATATAGGGATCACGGTAGCTAATAAATGTTGTTACCAGGCCAGAGTTGACCTGATAATATCCTAGCTGCATTGGTTGATGACCATCTTTTGCATAAAACTCATACAGGACAACCTCTCCTGCCCATGTTATCCCCATTGAAGTTAACTCAAGAACAACCAAAGTCTTCTAATCTTCTTATTGTCTTTTAAGGTCTTTATGATTAAGCTGTGTATTTCTTCTGGTGTTTTCAATTAAATTTGTTCCTTATCATAATATATGAAATTAAACAATGCACTGCTGAAATGTGGACCTAGAAATCTTCTAAGCTGGTATGGGTCTGCTAATGAGATCATGCTTCTAAGTGAAACTTAGAAATATTAATGTGCATATTTTTAATATGTTATATCTTTCAAACAACTTCCTCTTTGTATTCATGTAAAACGAACTGGTGTAGGTTATCAGGCCTTTTAGTTGTTTTATTTGCTAAATTGATCTTGTATCTCCTTCGTGTCATGTAAATTAAGTTGCTTCAGTGAAGTTGAACTTCTTTTATTGGATGTTAGTGAAACTTTAGACAAAGAAATGCAAGTTAAATGTCTAATTCCATGCAAGACAACATTTTATCCTCATACTTTTTTGTCCCCAGCAATGATGGAACTGTTCAGGGGACTAGGGGTACTTTTCAAAACACCTATATGTATACTACTATTAATCCATCTTTGAGTAGTGTATTGGCCTGCCACACCCGATGGCAGATTTTGAAGTAGAAAATTTTTTTTCTTTCACACAAATACCGCTTGTTTTTAATACAATATTATACTACTAATCAAGTATTATATGCCTATCATAATTTTTTATTCTTTTGTTATCACCCAAATCCGCCACAAAACAATAGGAAAGTTCTAGTTCAAGGACTTAAAAAGCTCTCGGTAGTGAAATATTGAGGAAATGATGTTGAACAATATGTTGTTACTTGTCTATTGTTTTTATCTTTCTAAATATTAGATTCGATTTGTAGATGGTGTTTTTTTGTATATTAGTAAAGTGGAACACCCGTTCTTAACACTTTTTAAGTTGAATAATTTATGAGCGTCTTTTCTTTTCTTTAGAGTGGTGTAATTTCATGAAATTCAAGTGATTTCAAGTTTTTCTATAGTTTTGGATGGGAAAGATCTCTACAATTGATACATTCTCCAAGAGAAAAAATAGTACAAACTCATGAGATAATAAATCATTGCCTTCAATTTTCACTAATTTTAATATTTTGGATGTCGAAAATTCTCCAGTAAAATCTCCAACAATTGAGATTAAGTACAAAATTATGCATATATTTCTTGGTAATGGTATGAGTTTATGTGCATAGAGTTTGGCCCCCCAAAGAGAATCCTGGTCCCCGGATATCCTAAAAGCAAATTGTTTCATGGGCCTATCTACTGTGCTGTTGTAGCATTGGGGTTGATTATTGTTTCCTTTTAAGGCAACCTTGCTTTCATTTAAATGCGACCAAATGCGAAAGTTTTATGTTCCTATTGGTTTGATAATGACATATTGTACTACTATAAAGATTTAAAATATAATTTTTGTTTTCCTTATCTAGAATTTTGTCAAGATGCTCAATTCTGATGGATCCACAAAATGGTTTTTTTTTTTCCTCTTAAACATTCAAATATATAAAATGTTGAAGACAATCGCACAAAATTAGGAAGTAAATAATTGTATATTGACTTTGTTAATTAGTTTCCTTTCTTGTATAAATTAGAGCTATTTTATAGGCATTAGACTAGGATCTAATCCTATTCCTTTGTGTATAAATATGTATCACCACTGATGAATGAATATAAAGAAATCATTTTACCAAATACTCTCTTATTATAAAAAGTTGTGTGTTTTGGAAACTAGAAAAGGCAAAAAAGGGTTTGAAAGTCACATTAAAAAACAATTCTTTTCTCATAAGGTTCTTGACTTCCAAGTTTCTACTGACTTGATTATGTCTTGATTTTATGAGAAGAAAAAAAGAAAATTTGAAGGCCTTGATTGGCTTATTTTCCAGTGCTTGATGTAAAAAGAATAATTGATTGGAGCTGAGACTAAAGTTAATAAGAAAATGTGGGTTGCTCGGTTGGACAGTGCATTATGGTGTTACCATTAAAAATTCTAAAATATGCAATAGAAGATTGCATGCTTGTGATTTGAAATGTGGCTGGTAATAAATATGAAGTCTCTTTAATGTAAATGTCCGTAGCTTGCTCCCTATTTGAAACTAGGGCAGTTTTGGAGCCCGCTCTGCCATTTGTTTAAATATAAGCCAAGAACTAATCTTGAGTCCATTCCTTTTCCTCCATATTTATGTACGATACTAAAATTGTAGAAAAAAACAGCCTTCACAATGTTGTATTGATGGGGATTGTGTAGGAATTGAATAGATATTTTAGATTAATCATGAGAGTAATTTAGTATTTATCTTTTAAGTATTTTCTTTTAATTTTTAAGGGTTTAGTTGTCATTTATGAGATTAGACTTTGATTATTATTGATTATTGATATTGAATCCTTCTTTCTCAAATTCTCTCTTTGTCCTCATCCCCCTCTTCTTCCCTTCTCATCCCTAATTCTTCCTTACTACGATCTACATCATGTATGCTAGGGATTATTCGGAAGACAAGAACGGTTATGGAATGCCTCCATCGTTTTTGCAGAGAATGCATTGACAAGTCTATGCGTCTGGGGTACTGTATTGTGCTTCCCTTTCGTTATTGACTGTACCTATTATTTTTATCTTCTTACTCTTGTTGATCTTAAATCAATGCAGGAACAATGAATGTCCTGCTTGTCGAACACATTGTGCTAGTCGCCGATCTTTGCGAGATGATCCAAATTATGATGCCCTCATTTCAGCTTTATATCCAGATATTGATAGCTATGAGGAGGAGGTACAGATTGACAAACTTCTCATCTCCTATGGAAAAGTGATTATTGGAACTGTTGTTTCATTTCAACCACTCACTTGCTTTATATTTCATTGCAGGAATTGGCTTTCCATGAAGAGGAGAAGGCTCGCAATAAGCAGGTGACTTGTCTTCAAGTTTCAATCCTGGCCTTTATTCTCCTGGATATTTATAGTATTGTTTAGGTACATGGTTCCTAGAGTTTGCATCTGCAGTGTGCCAAAACAGTTTATGGAGGATGATGCATTTCACTGAAAAATGCAAAACAAGTGAATTGTTCTGGCCTTTCTTTACCCGACCGAATGACATGACCCTCTTGTGAATGACAATGGGCAGAACTATAATGAGCAGCTGTGGAAATGAATGCATTTGTTTTTTATCATGATCATCTTTCGAATGTTTGCCTGTAGAACAGGTTAAGTAATCGGAGCCTGTATCTTTTGAAATGCATTTTACACAGATGGTTGCAGGAACCAAAAATGAAGGCCACTGAACTGTTCACAGCCCAATCATATGTTTGCTCGTTGCTTTTTCCATTTTCTTTTACTGTGTTGCTTCTGCACTAATTTTTGAGTTGATTGCACAGATCCAAGCCTCAATTGCCCAGACACTTCGACGACAAACAGAAGCACTGGGTAGGAAACGGACTGCTAGGGCAACAGCAGCTGCATTTGTAAGAAGATCACAGGGAAGTTATCGTAATTTGAGGGGAAGGAGAAACCATCGAGCTGCTGAGCACCAAGAATCTGATGATGATGAGGAGGATACTAATGGTCACGATGCAGGTAAGGATTCGTCTTCCGCTGATGAGCACATAGCATTCAAACCAAAAAGATACAAAAGATGGGGAGGAGCTCGGTTTTCTCAGATTTCTTCGGGAGCAGCCAGTGCAGATGGAGGCTGTGATGATAATGATGCTGAACTGAATACAGAATCCGTGGGTGTGTCTGCTGGGCTTGTCAGCAGCTCAGAGATGCTTGTCTGGGGCAAAGGTGGCATGCGGAGTCACACCCGACATGGCAATTTGAGTGGTGGTAATGGCAAGCATGGCAGGAACAACCGCCTGTCCAAGCTGATTGATTGTCTTCGAAGTTCAGAGGAAAATGAGAATGTGGTAATTATTATATACATCTTTTGGTTGGTGAGTGCTACAACTTTATAATTGATTACCCAAGTGCAGGTTGTGCAAAGTAATAAATTTCTCGGGAGTCCGAGGTCGAACCACAGGGAATTGGAAAAACAAGAGACACAAAACAAATAAAAAGTAAACTTGTAAGAATAATTTATTTAAGAGATTGTTGAGTTGAGAAAATATTGATTGGAGTAATTAAAACAATATAATAAAAATACTAGAGCATCAGGTACTTATTCAATTCCGTACAATAATGATTACAGACTCAAATCTTAACTTGAGATAAGAATCAGATGTCAGTTGATTCATGTGACAAATCAAGAATGAAAACCTAAAGTTATAATCAAAAGATTATTTAGGAACCTGAATAATCATCTAATTATATTATTTTATGAAATAATAATAATTACCTCAAATATGGAATAACCAGTTAATTACTCGCAGAGAAATTCAAGCAATCGATGTACATGGCACAACAACTCAAGGATTTTTACAGAGCAAAAATTTTGTTATAAGATCAGAAATTAAATTAACAAAATATCACAAATCATTAAACTCAGAATCAATAACATTACCGTATTTCATTAAGAGGTTCTCCCCTAGCCCTAGCTTAACCTTCTAGCCAGACATGACAAACTAAAACTAGAAATAAAAAGATGGGAAAAAGAATTATATAATAAATCCTAGATGAGAACCCCTATTTATACTAAAAATAAATCTTAAATATAGGTAGAAGATATAAGGTTGGCTTAGAAAGAATTTTTTTTCAAAGAGAAGTTTTGTAAGGTTAAATACCGTGCATAAAATCTTTGTGGCGCGGGTACAAAATTTGTCCAGACTTCGAGCTTGAATTTCGCGTATTTAGAGGATAATTCACGAAATTTTCGTGAAATACACTTTTATAGTCCTTGGAGTATTCTTTTCAATCCCCAAAAATCAAGTAAATCGGATATCAGAGTCAAAAGTTATGACCAAAATACTGAAAACGTGTCAAATCCTTATTCTTCTAAGATACTTTCCTAATCCAACTTTAAATAAGTTTTCTTCCATCTTGGACTCTTAGAAGGATTAAATTGGTATCATATCTTCAAGTCTTCCTATCTCAATATTGACTCTTTAATCCTTTATTAGTTGTGATTCTTCCCCTAGTGATTGATTCACTTGTCTTATCCATTATTACTTTAAATCAACCAATTTATCTGCAAAATCAACCAAACAACTAGAAAAAGTATTAAACTAAAAAATTAAGGAATTCAACACATTTAATCACAAATAATATAATGGTTAATCACACCCCCCAACCTGAATATTATTAGTCCCTAGTAATATATAGATCCTAAAATCTAAAAACTAAAAATAAAAATTAAATAATCTAATAAAATAAAACATAAATCCACTTTCGTAGGCCTCACGATTGCATTTAGTATATGCAACAAGCCTTTAAACCCCTAGGTTCCCTCTAGTGGACAAGTATAGTCTCGTGAGGGTTTCTAAAGATGATACCCACAAACATCACCCTGTGATCAAATATCTGAATAATAATTTATTAACACAAATTGCTACCACAATATAAAAATTCTGAGTTACAAACCTGTTTATAAGCACATGCAAAGCAAAATATAGAACTCTACGCTATATAAATGTATGCACTTATCATGTTCCCATATAAACTCGTGTGTAGTGTGAATTAATTATACCAAGTTAGCAATTTATCCGGTAATCACCTCTATAACTATCAACTATTCGTCTCAATGCCAAATCTCACTAGATAATTCACTCATAAAAAATTCTCTAAGATTATAGTGACTATTCACTCAAACACATGTGAGAAGAAGATATTTAAATCAAAACAAAATAATGCTCACATGTCCAAAAAAAAAAAACGTAATCCAAAAGAAAGGATTTGACATAGTCTCATAAAAGAAAATCAACACATAATATATAAATAATCATCATTCTCTTCCTTATTCACATAAGTCATGTATCCATCAATACACTCTTAAGATCAGAAAAGACTTTATTTAAGGTTGTAATGGGGCCTTAGGATTAGGGCTTTGAAACAAAGGATACTCAGGAATTCAAAAGACAATCCCAAGAGAACATGTACATTACACAACCAAACTTTTTTTTATAGCCTTTCACTCTCCATCATTTAGAAGCACAATTTACAATGCTTGCTAATATTATTTTTTTTTCTTTCTCATTCTTGCTATTTTTTTTTTCAATCTGCTTTTTCACAGCTAGACATATTGTCTTTCTTTTTCTTCTCAACTTTTTTTTTTCAGTAAGACAATTATATATATATATATATATATATATATATATTTCTCAACCAACATCTCCCAAATTACATAAACAATAAAAAGCTCAATTTCGGGATAACCAAAGGTAAAAGATATTTTTTTTTTCATTGGCTTGGTTATTATATGTTGGGTAATAAAAAATAAAATAAAATTTTATTTCAAAACTCAATCATGGCTTCTAGGGATAATAATATTCAAAAAATAATGCTTAGGCTCAAATAATATCAAAGATGGCCTAAAATCATATCCTAAGAGTTTTTGATAACACACTCCCTATACAAATAATTTAAAGTCAAATAATCATTCATAATATTGGTGTGGACCAAAATAAAAATAATGAGACTATTGAAGGAGATTAGCTGAATAAAAATATTCTTTATTGAGTAAATGTAAATAACCCTCAAAGGAAGATTGTATCAAAACTCACCCGAATTTTTATGCATTTTCATTATACTTTTCAAGTTCTCAAGGTAAAATACCTAACAAATTTTTAACTTGATAAAGTCCAAAGTGTACAAATTGTGAGTTTTTATAAGAGCTTAATATGAGATACAAAAATATAGAATAAAGTTCTATGTGATGCTTAAACAGCTACAAATTTAAAGTTACGCAAATTATTTCTATATTGTGGTGTCAATTTATGCATAAAAATGTTATCTAAATATTTAATAACCATCAAATTTTTATTTATTTTTTTATTTTTAGCAAAGTAAATAAATTAAAAAAAAATATATAAATTAGGAATTTTCACAACACAAGACATACTCATACCCTCTAACCTAAATCCAACATTGTCCTCAATGTAAAAATAAATGTCTTAATGCTCAATAAAAATAATGAATAAAGATCAAAGGGATAGGAATACCTGGTGTTGCAACAACTATAAAACCTAAAAATAAAAACTCAACAAACATAGAAAACTATAAATTGAAACAAACAGAAAGGAAACTAAAATTAAACAAAATAAATAAAATAAAATCTAACTACTATGTACAAATAAAAATAAAATGTCACACTCAATCTGGCTTAAAATCATATTTGAATATGCGTCCATTCAATTTTATTGGCTTAAAAATATGGTGTCGAAGTAACTCATTTAATCGACCTATCCACTCATATACCTAATATATCTTTTGAACATGCAAAAAAAGGGAGATATATACATTTTTATGCAAATCTAAAAATGAGATAGCAAATAGATTTTTGTCAATTACAACACACAACTCAACTTTCATACCATCACCAAGATTAGATATATGCATCTCATTACTACTTGTTGATAATAAAAAGTCTTTGGGCTCATTAGCCTCTTGTGGAATAATAATGTCACTTAATTCTTCACTATCAAGAGTATCAATAGATTCATCCTCAATTTGTAGTTCAGGAAAAGAATCACTCTCACTATATTGACTATTGTCAACCTCTTGTTCTTGTTTTAATGTATTGAGCATATCTTTTGTCTCTTCAATATCTTGGCTTATTTGGGCATTGAAAGCTTGTTGGCTTTCATTGAAAGCTAGTTCGTTTTGCATAAATTCACAAAAAATGCCTTTGAAAGCTAGTTGGCTTTGCATAAATTCACAAAGAATGTTTTTCAAATTCTTTTCTTGTGGGTCATGGTAAGGTGGATATTGAGGAGGGTCATGTGGTGATGTGGCATATATAGGTAACTGATAATGTTCACTCCCTCAACCAAAATTGGGATAAAAATTTTCAGAACAGTGGTCGGAGTAAGGTTGAAAAGAATTAGGTAAGACAATTGTCCCGTCTCTCAAAAATTTTCGAGCAATTGGAATTAAAGGGCAATCCTCAATGGGATGTCTATACACATCACAAAGCTCACACAGTTCCTCTATCGAAAAAAATCTTCACACCACATTAAAAAATATAAAATAAAACAAATAATAATAATAAAATAAAATAAAAAAAGAACAAGATTACCGGATCTGTGACGAATCTCAAATCTGGCAAACCTCAATAAATGGCGGTGTGTTCCTTGCCTTCAAACAATATTCCCGGCAACGGCAACAAAAACTTACTACAACTTTAGAATTGATCATCCAAGTGCAGGTTGTGCTAAATAATAAATTTATCAAGAGTCCGAGGTCGAACCACAAGGAATTGAAAAAATAAGAGACACAAAACAAATAAAAAATAAACTTGTAAGAATAATTTATTTAAGAGATTGTTGAGTTGAGAAAATATTGATTGGAGTAATTAAAATAATATAATAAAAATATTAAAGCATCAGGTACTCCCTCTCAATTCCGTACAATAATGATTAAAGACTCAAATCTTAACTTGAGACAAGAATCAGATGTCGGTTGATTCATGTGACAAATTAAGAAAGAAAATCTAAAGTTATAATCAAAAGATTATTTAGGAACCTGAATAATCATCCAATTATATTATTTTATGAAATAATGATAATTACCTTAAGCATGGAATAACCAGTTATTTACTCGCAGGGAAATTCAAGCAATCGATGTACATGACACAACAACTCAAGGATTTTTACAGAGCAAAAACTTTGCTATAAGATTAGAAGTTAATTAACAAAATATCATAAATCATTAAACTCAAAATCAATAACATTACCGTACTTCATTAAGAGGTTCTCCCCTAGCACTAGCTTAGCCTTCTAATCAGACATGATAAACTAAAACTAGAAATAAAAATATGGGAAAAAAAATTATATAATAAATCCTAAATGAGAACCCCTATTTATACTAAAAATAAATCCTAAATATAGGTAGAAGATATAAGGTTGGCTTGGAAGGAATTCCTTTCCAAAGAGAAATTTTGTAAGATTAAATCCCGTGCATAAAATCTTTGTGGCGCTGGTATAAAATCTGTCCAAACTTCGAGCTTGAATTTCGCATATTTAGAGGATGATTCACGAAATTTTTTGTGAAATACACTTTTGTAGTCCTTGGAGTATTCTTTGCAATCCCTAAAAATCAAGTAAATCTGATATCAGAGTCAAAAATTATGATCAGACTACTGAAGACGTGTCAAATCCTTATTCTTCTAGAATACTTTCATATTCTAACTTTAAATGAGTTTTCTTCTATCTTGGACTCTTAGAAGGATTAAATTGTTGTCATATCTTCAAGTCTTCCTATCTTAATATTGACTCTTTAATCCTTATTAGTTGTGATTTTTTCTCTAGTGATTGATTCATTTGTCTTATCCATTATTACTTTAAATCAACCAATTTACCTGCAAAATAAACCAAACAACTAGAAAAAGTATCAAACTAAAAAATCAAGGAATTCAACATATTTAATCACAAATAATATGAAATTAACCAATCATTAAATATAATAAAATAGTAATTTTGATGGTTAATCAGTGAGCTCATGGGTTTTGCTGTCATAAGGAATTGTTAATCTTATGGTTAGCTGCATTTTTGGTTGCAACAACGAAAGTAATCCAATTCATATCTCCAAACATGCACAATGTTGCCAAAATATTTTTTTTATTCTGCCCATTTAGGACAGTTTGTCCGTGAGCTCATTTCTGGTGGTTTACTTCTTGGGCGCTCTACCCAGACTGTGCTTACATGGATTCTGTGTTGCGTCTTATTGTTTCAGTTGGATATCCATCTTATGCTTGTTTCTTTGGACGAACAAAAAATACCCAATTTGCAGCAGCCCTATCTCTGCTGCAGGCCTACTTTATCAGTTAAACATATATGCCAGGTGAAATTTACTTCCACCCTGATTCTTAATTTTGATTTATCATACTTTATGTTAAGTGAGGCTTTTGTCGACCAATACCAGAATTGCTTATTAAATGCATATCTCCATGCAGTATGTTGCTATCCAGACTTCCATGCCAGCTGATGAAGTTGAAATGTTGTTGGTGAAAGAGTTTCATTCCAATCTCAACCCCTCAACCTCCTCGAGTGTTTTGATCTCCAGGTGCAGAATTATGGATCCATGCAAAGATGAATTGCATGCATTGGAAGAACATGAAACCTTGGTGGGACTTCAAGCTAGGTTCAATTTTAGTCAGAGACATGTGGTAAGCTCTCTTTGAGACATATATGTTGAAGTTTACAATAAACACTCGATCATGACAACCCATGCAAACACCGATTTGTTGTTATTCAAATGATCTATGGAGAGTTTCTGTTTCTTACTTTTAAATAATTAGTGCTTGTTTTTAGCTCATAATATTCTCCATGCTGTTTTCAGCTTTTGGCATTCCGGCAAAAGTCGACATGATTAGAAAACTCGTGATGAATCAATGACAGGACAAGGCGTTGCATCAGTTTCTTGTAAGATGTGTGAAAATATAATTTTAAAAGAACATTCTGCAGTATTTATTAATCCTGATTGAATGCTATGTATATTTTCTTTTGGAAATTGGGGGTTGTGGGAAATTGGAGTACCAAACAAAATACTAATATGGTTTTAGGAGTCGGGAAAAAGGGTTATTGCTTGTATCTAAGTACAACTTGAATTTGTTGTCTATCTAAATCAAGTATTCATAGATCTTGCTTAAAGGATGTTAAAATGTGTTACTTGGATGCTCGTGTGTTATTCTGGTTACCCCTCCCTCTTGGATTGATTGAATGTTCATCAATGACAGAAGGAACTTGCAGGATTTGAGAACTATATTGCAGGTGACACAGACGAATACCTCTCCACGAGATCCAATTCTATCTGGGAGCTTACGAGAATGGTATGTGCTAATCCACTCTAAGGAGTGTTTAGTGGGGAGCAGATGGCCTTGTTCCCATGATGCCACTCTAAAGACTACATGGGATGGGATGGACCATTTACCTTCGCTGCACTATGAATAGCAAGAGGACATGACCGTGCATAGGATGAGTTCCTCATATCTCAGTGTCCTGATGACAAACCCAGGTATTTTTTTCCCTTTGCCGTGTCAATTCCGTTCTCCTACTTCCAAAGTAAAATCGTACCTTTAAATTTTATAATTTTTGTGAATTTCAATACAAATTTTTAAATTTGTTTTCAACAAAAAACTTCACAATTTTTTGAATAATGTTATAATTTTTAAAATTTGAGTTACAACTTTTTAAATTTGTTTAGAATAGATCTTAAAAATTTTTAAAATTATTTGTAAGCTATTACAAAAAATTTTACAAAAACCATACAATTCGTAATAATGATATAGTATCAAATATTCTCTCCCCTTTAACATAAACTTCTAAATTTATACATAGCCGATATATACCGAATAGCAAGCGCTATGGTATCGAGAAAAAGTTCAAAAAATTAATACATAAGGAATTGTTTTAACTTTTAAATTTTAGTTTGGTCACAAATATTATAAAACAAAAAAATAAAATATATATAAAATTAATGTAGTTTACCCTGGCTAATTATTAAGCGGTCAATTAAGAATTTTTATAATATTTATAAACTTATTTATTAAATTACAATACTTTTGCAAAAAAGAAAGCAAAATTAATAACACAAAAAGGGTCGATAAGTATGTTTACAAGATGTACCAAACTATCAACTTTACCATGTATGCTTTACAAAATGCTGCACTCTAATAATTGATTTCATGTGGGGCATGGACTAGCGCCTACTGATTTTTTAATGCCCAAGGGATAAGCATGAAGTTGCCCACTTATAATTACACTACACTACACTACACTACACTACAATACAATAATAATATATCAAAGGGAACAACCACGTTCAACTTATTTAATAACATGGGTCACATTGTTCAACACCTTAGCCAAACTCACAGGGTTCTTACTTGATTAGCCTCTCACTGGTTTAACTAGGTAACATAACATAATAATACCATTAAAAACAAACCAAACCAAACCAAACCAAACCAAACTAAACCCAAGAAGGACACATCACTGGCGTTGAAAGGAAAACACAAATATTTACATGCAACCATTGGTAAAAACACCCAAAACCACCTCAGCGATGCTTGCTCCTAGTCTCCCCACTGTAGAGCCTGTGATGATCACACAAACAAACACAACAACAAATATTAGATGATCCAACAAAATAAAACTATTAAAATAATGAATTACGACTCGATTTGATGCAAGCAATAATGATTGAACCAACAAACTTAAAAAACCTTTTAAGATCGATTCTAAAATAATTTTTAAGACTAATTTTAAATTTTTTAATGATCTCAATACTCGTAGCTTTTGCCAAAATTTTTAGAGGATACAGATACAGGATACCGAATTTGTACTGTAGATTTCCGACTGCCTTAATATCTGGTAAGAGAATAACAGATCCAAGCCATCCGACCATGGATCTTGGTCAAAAAGATCTCATTCAATATCCAAAATCAAAGCATCTAAGATCTGGAATCCAGTGCACCCTGATTGTGTTTGTGTTCTTGTTTTTGTTTGTGTATGTAATGAGCATATATATATATAGATATATGGTGTATTCATGGATCCAGATCCGAAAAATGCACTTTCTTCCGATAATTCACTTATATATAATGGATCTCCATGGACGATCAATGATCTACGATTGAAAAAACTTAAGAGAAAAAATTTATTGGTGAGATAAAAATCCATCATGCATGAAGGTGTTTAATCAGAAACCCCAAAAGATAGTCCAATGGAGATAGGGACGTGCTCGAAATCTAGACATGGTGTGCACCCAGACATGATGAGAGGTCAGGAATTTCTCGTAAATTCGGCATAGATGGATTATATTTGACTGAATCGAGAAAAAAATTATTTAAAGTACACATACACGAGGTCGAACACTCCTAATCGCAATACTTAAAAAAAAAAAAAAAAAAAAGGGTATTCAATCTGGGTCTCTAAGTCACAACAAAATGTTTAGTCTAAGGGAAACGATGTACTCACACACACACACCCCAAAAAAAAAAGACAAAATCAACATAAATAGTGAGATCAATGGATTCTGATTTAAAAATTAATGAATTTTACTGATCTAATCATCTACAATAATTTGATACATTTTTTGTTTAATTTAATTTTTGGACGATGATTACGCGCGTGAAAAAGACGCGCATTAACATAGTCTATACCATGCATGTAGGATTTTTCCATTGCACGTACCAGTCATAAACACTGGGAGAGTTAGGCTGTGGCTTGTCAAAGACATCAGCTCCAATATGCCTGGTGGCAAGGTTGCTACCCGGGTGGAAAACACTCCTCCAAACGTTTTCCTTACGCGCCGCCTTGGGCGATGGCGTATTTGGTGTCACAGGTGTTGCCGGTGTCCCTGGTGTCGATGGCACGGACAGGGATCTCTGGTTCTTGCTGCTACTCTCTCCTTCCCCCTCTGTCCAAAAAACCATCATACAACCATATATATAAGCAATCAAAACCAGTCCACGGGTCTCTGCACATAGAGTAACCCTCTTTCTGCGTATTTCGGAATTTCGAAAACAGAATAAAAAAATAAAAAATTTAAAAATTATTTTTTCAAAACATTATCAAACTTCCTTAAAACAGTATGAACCAATTGCAAATACATTAAAACATTATAAAAACAACCTTAAAATATTAGAATTTCAGATGATGATTTATATATGTATGTATGATCTGAGACTAAGTTATTAGAATATGAAAGAAAGAAAGGGCATGAAATCACCTTTGATGGTCAAGGGATTAGGGGTGATCAATTTCCTGAGTTTGCCGAGACCGCGTTCAGGTTGAGGTCCGGCTGCAACATCGTCCCAAAGCTTGTCTAGCAAAACCATCTTTCTCTCACTCTCTCCTCTTCCTTTGTCTTTGCTTACAAATAAATAGAGGGTTGTTGCTAAAATATCTCCTTGTCTCTAGACAAATTTCCCCAATATAGTTTTTCTCTACTTCCAATCAAGAAATATTTTACGCCCCGAAAGATTTTAAATTTTTCACCTTATATTTTTAAAGATTAAATTTTTTACGTTTTAAAGATTAAACTTTTTACGTTGCACCATCACAATATCAAAAATGTTGCAATGTGGCAATTTTGTTAGTTTTCTATTAATTTTTTTTGTTAGTGTCAATGAGTTAATTTTTGACAGAAAAAATAACAAAAACTAATAGAATAATTATATTGCAACACTTTTGATATATTAAAAGTATAATATGAAAATTTTAATCTTTGAATGTGCAAAATAAAATTTTTAAAATTTTTCAAGGTGCAAACTATGAAAAATCCTTTAATTTTAAATTAGATGCTCTAATATGAATATTAGAGTTAAACCTCGAGTTGTTAGTAATTCCTCAAGATTTTTGGAGGATCAAGAGATATCGAAAATTGAACATTTTAAATAGTTAGAGTCTATATTATTAAATAGTGTGCGTGATTGGCGATAATTTTACTCATAGAATTAAAATAAGATGCATTAAATGGAGGAATACATCGGGTGTATTGTGTGATAAGCGCATACTCTTTAGACTAAAAAATAATGTGTGATAATATTATGAATGATAAAATTAAGAACGATTATACCAATGAAAAAATAAAATCAACCCATATAGGAGATAAATTGTTAAAAAAAATTGATTTAGGTAATTTGAATATATTTATAAATGACTTACTAAGACATTAATAACTTTTGACAATAAACGTAGGAGTAAAAAAATGTCAAAATTAATTTTAAATAAAATAATAAATAAAAATATGATAACAAAAAATATAACCGAGATGAGACTTTGTTGAATTTTGAGGTTTTGGATCAAAGTGATTAAAATCAATTTAAATTTAAATCCACCCATTTATAGGAATATGAAAGGGAATGCAAAGGAAGTCGGGCAGTAGGAAATTGTAGGTGGCAATGGATCAAATCGAAGTGGATAAGAATGAGGACTCAGTAAACGTGGATCCCACACATAATATCACTGACCCTGAGTAGATCAGATGAGAGTAGGTTGTGGGTTGCTATACAAGTGTCATCTTTCTAATTAAATAGTCCTATGTGTCGAAAATGATGGGCCCACCATGATGGGCTTGCATTGGATTTTGTGGTGAGACACGTGGGACCCATACTTTTGATAATGGGGGATCGGACACTATTATGAGTACGTGGGACTTTGACGAGGATGTGATACATTGATGTTGATTATTAGATTTAATTAATTGTAATTTGAATTTGAGAATTTTTAGGTGCCGTTTGTTTTGAGTATTAAATTTAGGTGGTATTAAAAATTATTTATATTTCACTCTTATCTAATGGTATATTATACTCAATTTTATTAAACTATAATTCTATCATTTCTCTTATTTATTTGTTACAACAAATATTATTTGTGTAATACCTACTTAAAAAAATTAATAATTGTAACTATAGATGGTAAAAAGATAATTATAACCTTAAAAAGACAATTGTACATGAAAGTATTTGTGTCATTTTAGTCTCTTATATCGTCCTTTCATTTGTACTGGTAAGATAATATCACCTAGTAGGTTGTATTCAATAGCACCACCGTATACAAGGTATTTAAGTCACTGTTCATGTCGGATCGGTATTATGACCCAAAAAATAGTATTAATGATAAAATAACAAACAAACAAGATATAAGGTGGACCCTATATATTATTTTCCTAATACCATCCATTTGTACCACTCTAATACTTAAAACAAATAGTCTTTTACGGTACAATCGGTCTGATCGATATTAAAAATTATAATATTTTAATATTAAATTATAAATTTTTTGGAGGGTAAGAATAAAACTTAGTTACTCGCTGGTAACAACTAGAAGAGCAAGGACTGAAAGCTTACGGACTATTGAAATTAACCTAAAGCACCAACAAAGGAAAGTATTTCGCAAGTTTTTAACTTTTACGGTACTATCGGCAAATACCAATATCAAAAATTATAATTTCAAAAGATATAATTGATCATAAAATGTTATAATTGATACCGTATTTTTTATGATCGATTATAAATATCCGTGATCAATTATAACCTCTCTTAAATAATTACAATTTCTCTTTTTAAAATTATAATTTTATCATATAAAATAATAACCGACAATATTAATATTGAATTTTTTTTTTTTTTGCAATACCTTAGAGTTTCTCTTTGAATTCCCTTTGAATTTTGTAAGATTGGATTGTCATTGTCAAGACCCAAGAGTGATGGGATGGGAAGGATCTGGACTAATTCAGGAGATGAAGAATTGAGGATGATATGGTCATTTGGTACACAATAATGTATTAAGGCAGATATATATGTTATTAAATCAGATCTTTTCTTATTTTTAAATCGTCAAAATTTATTAGATCTTCATGATAACTCTTTTTATGTTTTTCTCTAATAGGATTTATGCCTTCTGTGTTAGGATTCTGCCATGATAGATCAGTCCAATTATAATACAAATCTATTAAAACTAAACTCGTATCCTTTAATTTCTTGTGTCAATTTTATGTGAATTGAACAAATTATGGTAACTATCAATTTTACCCATTAACACGAACGTAATACGAACTCAACCTGATATAAAACTCAAAAATGACACAAATGATAAATGGGTAAAATCAATATTAGACATGAATAACACGATTAATAGGGCAAAAAAAAAATATGTATTTACTGACTATTGTTGACAAAAAAATTAGTATTTTATAATTTTTTAAAATTTTTAAATAATATTATATGTGTTGATATAAAATTATATATTTTTTTAACCACATGAATACAACATGCATCGAAAATAACGCCAGAAAAAAAATATGACAAAATTGACAATTCAGTAAAGAATAGACTACTTTTGTAAGTATTAAATCCCACCTGAATAAATATAATAATTTTTATTTTTCGCAATTAAAATATTTTTAAATTTTACTTTAAAATTAATCTAACGACTAATATTCGCACCCCATATTTAATAAAAAAAATAAAACTCTAAGAATGTGTTTAGAGTAACTTTTTAACAATACTTTTAAGACTTATAACTTCTCTTAAATATATATATTTTTTTAAAAATAGTATTTGAAATCGCTCCGCCTCCGCCACCCTTGTCGTCCCATCACCATCACCACTATCGTCACCCGACCACCACCTCCACCATCACCACAATCACTGTCGCCATCCCCATTACCACCACCACCATCCCCACTATCACCATCACCACCACTTCCACCTCCACCATTGTCGCCACCACTGCCACTGTCATTCCATTATCCTTACCACTACCACCGCCATCGTTGTCACTCCACCACTGTCGTCATCCCACCACCACCACCCCCTCACCATCACCGTCACTATCCAACCATAACCATCGTCGCCTACTACCAATTGCTACCATCATTGTCCACCACCACCACCACTATCCACCGCTATCGTAATCTTATTCTTATATTTATTATCATTATCACCATTATCCCACTACCATTGGTGCCCACTATCAACACCTACCACCACCATTGTTGCCCACCACCACTCGTCGTCGCCCACCATTGTCGCCGGCCACTGTCACCCACCCCCACCACACCTATCACCTCCACCCGTCATCACCCACGATTGTCGCCACCCACTGTCACCCATCCCTACCATACCTACAACCACCGCCTTTCACCACCACCATCACTGTCGCCCACCACCACCATCACCGTTGTCACCACGACTGCCACCACCACCACCACTATCACGATCGTCACCACCCACCACTACCACTACAACCGCTCATCCTTACTACAATCGGTTCTTAAATTCTTTTCTCTTCTATCTATTTTTGATATTTGATTTTAAATATAATAATAAATGTTTATTACTGACTATTTTTTTTATTACTCCGCGTTATCAGACACGAACAATAACTACTTAAAATTAACCCATCTAGGGACTATAATTGAAGCACACAATTAAAGACCGAAAATTAATTAAAAGTCATACTTTTAAGACAAATAGGTAAGTGAAATCCTATTCTTTTCATTACATTATTTCTCACTTTTTTCTATCGGTACATCATAAATCACGATAAAACTATGCTTTCCAAATTTATTTACAAATTGGTATATCTCAAATGATGTGTAAAAATTCTATGCATTAAATACTTGGTGAAAGTTAATAAACCTTACTGATTTAACCACTCATACTGATTTGGGATACATCATTTGATAAATGATTTGGTAACATAATATTGCTCAATTTAAAATGACCAGATAGTAATTTTTTTTTTGTCAGCCAAGAACACTACCATTTTTTGATAAAATGAACTTAAAATATGCAAAATCACCTACAAACTACACGTATAGAATACATTGAACACTTAAACATGCATCGAAGATAATGACAACTCAAAAATTTAGAATCTCATAAGACTTAACAATGCCTTGCTATGCCTAATCTTTGTCTTTGTTAATTTAGCCTATTATTGATTGTTGATAGTAAAGTTTTGCCAATTACGCATGCGGACACGTATATGAAACAAAGTAGAGGTCCATTGAGAATAATAATCATTCAAATATATTATCTTAATTAATAATTTATTAAAAAAAAAACTCTTTGGAATGCCCACCAGGTTTTCAACAAATGCCTAAGTGCTACTTGTAGCCTTCCTTCAATGTCGTAGCCTTTAACTTATTGACGGATTTTGCATTAGATACATACAACATTTTGTTTGATTCATGCCTCGAATAAGAACATCCAAAGAAAATCTCCAAGTGAAGTTGCTCCAAATAAAATTGAGTTGGCAAATAAGTGCCAAGTAGAACCAACATAGCCCACTCCTATTATCTCAGCTGCAAAACTTTGTTTGAAAGTACCATTCTATCATAAATTAAAGAATCCAAAAGCATTATTCTCGTGCTACTGAGATGTTACAGAAAACAATTCCCTAAATTATGCAAAATAACTATTATAGGGCGCCCCGGCCACCAAAAAAAGAGAAAATAAGAACAATACTGAGAGGTTAATAGTAGGAAATCATACCCCCATTTTGAATAGGTTGTTTCTTGGACTCGATCTCGCAACATTTCACTTGGTGGATATCGACTTACCAACTCCAGGGGAAAGGAAAACAATATAAACCAATTACCACTGCCAAAAGTGTACACAGAAAAAGTAGGGGAAGGGGGAATATAAAAAGGTAAAATCAAAAAGAACAAGTGGGTGCATCAAAATAATCAAAATGCTGTGTATATAATCTCAGTAGTCTGGGAACTAACCTTTTCACATAACACATGGCAACGACTACGCCAGAAACGATGTCCTTGGATGTTGCAGCAGATGTCAGTTCAGGTGACTCCGTCTCCTTCGCAGGCTTTGCATGTATTTCAAGACCAGCATTCAAAGAATCAATCAAACATGTACCTCAAACAATGCCACCCAAATTTGAAAAGACCCAGAATTTGAATTTGGTCATGGTCCATCAGGCTCAACTGTTGACAATCCTACCATGAATTCCCTGGCTGATGCATTGTTCTCGAATAGTCAGTTCTGTTTCAGTCATATCCATCTCAAGTGTTTGGGCATATCAGTTCCAAAGACTTGTTGCCGCCAACTCGTGGCAGTAGGAGGAGAACAAGTGGCAATGAGATGGGCCTCAACACCTCTGCTGAAAAATGAAACACTGAAATGAGAAACAAAGCAAATAAGGAAGGCACCACTGCAACCCAGTGGTTTGCTCAGAAAATTTTCCAGACGCATGCAACTTCATGTAGAGCCTGCTGTGCCCTCAAGCCAATGCCGGGTGCAGACCATCTATGGCAAACTTAATCTCTTCCATTAGTTGAAATGAGCAAACAGGCAAATTGCAATTGACTTCAACCTAGGCTTCTTTTGGAGTAATTTGAGAAGTATATGATCAATCAGTTGCATGTTAATACAATTCTGCATCTGTCTTCTTCCTCTATCATGCCTGTCAGCTTGATGTCGGTATCCATCCTCATGGGCAAAACTGCATATTGAGATTATCAGAATTTAGAACTCACGACATTTTTCTAAATCCACCAAATGAAATCATTGAAGCTAATAACTCATCCGATTGGTATTTTCGTAATCACATCATCTCTAGACACACACAAATATAGACATGATTTTATCCAAGCATAACATGATCATTGAAGCAACTTTTGACTCAATTCAAACATGTAATCTATGTCTCTTTCAGTGCATTTTATAGATTGAGTAGAAATATTGAGATCAAAGTGTTTAGAAGCTGATCTCTCCTTCAAGGGATTAGATTAGCTTGATGATTGACCCACATTTACTACATGTGAAAACTATACTCTGGGCAATTTGATGGTAAAGCTAAAAGAATTACATGCTATGGTGTGGGTTGGACTCTCAGAAGCACAAGATGGCAAAATTTTATGTGGGGTTGGACTCTCTCGTTGAAGAAGTACAAGACAACAAAATTTTAGATCAAGCATTTCAAATTACTCCGGAAAAACAGTTATGCTGCCTATTTTCTCTATACCATCACTGCCTTTGCTCCTTACCTTCCATGTCAGTGTTTGATAGCATGGTTCAAGGTTATGATAATGGTCATTGACTCAAGAAGCCACTAAATCGCATTGTTTACAGCGTTACAGGACTATTTTGGGTGATACACGTGAAATGCTACATAAAAAAAAGAAGTTGAACATGAAGAAAGATTAAGAATGAACATGGAGAAACAATGTGAAAGTTTATTTCTAAAACATTCCGACCATTGTTATCAAAATCATAGGATTCGTGGTTCGATTTAGTTCCCATTTGATTTGTATCTTTACTATAGAATCGTTTTTGGCCAGGAATTGCACTTAAATCGCAAAAATCGTACGATTTGATTCGAATCGAAGGAATCGCATGATTCGTTTTATTATTTTTTTAATCCTATTTCTAGTAAAATGACGTCATTTTGACTAGATGGTCAAAACAACGTTGTTTTGTTAGAAGAGGCCCACCTCCAAATATAAAACTCGCATCTCTCTTTGTATCTCCTGTTCGCCTCTCTGAATCTCAAGCAACTGTTCAAGCGTCTATGAACATCACACAGAGACGACGTCTCATTCACTTCAGGTATGCTTCTTCTTCTTCAAAAAGAAGTTACCAAACCCTAATATACCCTACTTCTTCTTCAATAAATGCTCTACCTTTTGTTTTTCATCAAAAAATTATTTTTCAATCAAATGTGGAAAGTGATTCTCTAAATTTACATGTTTGAATCAATATGTGCTTTCCCTATTTTAGTTTAGGTAGGAACAATTTATTATTTATTAAGAAAGAAATAACAAAAACACAAACTCAAGTATAGGTTTATAAAAATTTATAAAGGCTATTATTTATTTATTTATACGACGTGATCGTACCAATACCGTCAATTGATTATTTTTAAAATACAATAATATTCAACATTTAATATTTTGCCTATTTTAAATATATACATGTTATTTTTGTTTATCATTGTTTGAATTTTGCATCGAATCTTACGATATTCGATTCTCCAATTTAGGATTTCAATTCTCGATATGAATCTCGATTTAATAACTATGATTCCAATACATTGGTCAAAACAAAACGAAACATACCAAAACACCTCTAAACATAAAAAATGTGACATTCAATCATTGTTTCGTTTCAGTTTCTATGAAAACGGAAATGCTTCTACCATTTCAAAACGGAATTTTGTTCTTTGATTACAGCATCACAAAAGGGTATGGGTTGATTTCAACGCGGTGACAATGACTCGAACAACTGGGAGTTGATGTAGAAATGTCTCGAACAATTTTGTCAAACCAAATAGAGACTTGTATGACTTTGCCAACCGAATATACTTATAGTTACACAAACATGAAAAAGTATTAGTTAAAAAGATGTCGTATCCGACTCAATTGAGTCATCTTAGTATCGGACGCTACTTTGAACTATGTTTGACGGAGATCACAAGTTTATAATTTTTAGAAACAATTCGGGAGACTTTAGCATGCTATTTTTTTTAATCTTTGTTCAAATTTTGTGTCAAATCTTACGATTTCTGATTCTCAAATCTAAGATTTCGATTTCCGATACAAATCTCAATTTGATAACTATGATTCCGACACATTAGTCGAAACAAAACAAAACATACCAAAACACCTCAAAATATAAGATTTGCGACATTCAATCATTGTTTCGTTTCACATTCAATGAAAACGGAAAGGCTTCGAGCATTTCGAAATAGAATTTTGTTCTTTGATCACACCGTCACAAAAGGGTATTGGTTAATTTCAATGCGGTGACAATGACTCGAACAACTTGGAGTTGATGTAGAAATGTCTCAAACGACTTGGCCAAACTAAATAGAGACTTGTATGACTTTGCCAACCGAATAGACTTGTAGTTACGCAAACATGAAAAAGTATCAGCTAAGATGATGTCGTGTTGAATACGACTCCACTGAGTCATCTTAGTATCGGGCACTACTTTGAACCATGTTTGACGGAGACGACAAGCTTATAATTTTTAGAAACAATTTGGGAGACTTTAGGATGCCCCTCCCAAAGAGCAAACGTCCATACCCGAAGGCCACAACTATTTCAATAGTTTTACTAAATTCTTTAATATGCTTACCGTCGCCTATGCCAGATATAGTAAAACACAGCAGCCTAACACATTCCTTAAAAGAAATAAAACTTGGATAAAAAGAGACATGACTCTGCAGTTGCTCCAAATTCATACGGGAAATAAACAAGTCGTCCATAAATATGACATTGCATAGTAAAACTCAAAACATTCCATGATTCTCGGTTCTAGTCTCTAGTATTCAAAACGATTGCCTTCAAAGGACTCTTCAACTTCCCAACAGTAGAATGTATAGGACACTGTACAAAAGAAAACCAATCTGCCAGGCAGGTCAAGATTTGCCATACTTATCAACGTATCCCTGCAATGAAAGGAGCTCTGTCAAGCGCACGAAGTATATTCGACATTCCACAACTAAGTTTCCTAGTGTATATCTTCTGAATAATAAAGGCACTCACCTCTACAAGCTTCGCAATTTTTGGCTGGGATAAAGAAAGATACTGCTTGATTGACTCTGCAGTATTTGGAATTTGATGGGGCTGCAATGTGTTAAGCACCTTCTCAACAGCCTTTTTAACTATCATTTTGTACGCGTCCTTGTTCAGATGACCCTCACGCCATGTTGGTTTCACCAATTCTTTAACAAAATCCACAAGAGCAGCATGGAAATGTTTAAAGGCTTTTGAATCCTTGTGCACCTCTCCATCTGTCTTATATTCAGCATCCATGTCACTGCTTTTTCTAGACCTATCTACTTTTGATCCTGTCTTGTGTCTGGGACCATTGCTTTGAAATCGGGAATCCTGATAACTACTTAATTTGTCTGTTTCTGTGACATCCCGAACATGAGCAGGGTTCAAGAGCTTCTCTTCTTTGGGCAAGGTGTTTCTTTTTTTCTGTTCAGTAGTACCATTTCCCACAGTTTCTGTTTCAGTTGTAGATAAATACCTTTCATAATGGTCCTTGTCCAACACATTGTCACTGTTGTTGTGATGACTAGAAACGGAATATTTATTGTCACTAAATCTTGGGTCAACAGTCCCATTGGAAACAGGATCATCATTTGTCCACAAATGTGTGCTCGGGATGGATGTCCCCTGACTAAAGGAAGAAAGTTTTGAGAACCCACCAGCTAAGTTGGGTTGCTCAATGCTATCACGAATGGGGTCGTACTGGCTTCCTGGAGATGATAAACTTTGAGTCATAAAAAAAGAGGGTCGAAAAGGTACAGATGGCTCCCAATCATAAGAAGAAATCTTTGTTTTATATCCAGCAGAGGGCAGTGGATCCCCAGAAGCATTAGTCCAAGAGAGAGTTTCTGATTCATAACCCAAGAATGGCGAAGAGCTCCTCTGCAAAGCAGATTTAGAAGCGCCGTATTCTCTGCCACTGTCGAGAAGCTTCTGGGCGCCAAGGGTTCTTTTATTCCAAGAAGAACTAAAAGACAAAGGTGATGACCTACTCCAGGATGAGATGTCGTTTGATGACAAAATTCCAGCCGCCAGTAGAGAAGTGTTTGAGCTTGAATCGAGAGAGCGGTGTAAGACCGGAAAATTGTGGTCATTGAGCATCGACTGGCTTCTCTTGCTAGCTATCTCTTTGAAACTTGTTGAATATGAGGAGCTACTTGAAAGAGTTTCCGGAAACGAGCTTGTCTTACAGATTGGAGAACTGCCTTTCAAAATTGGTGAAACATACTTGCCATGATCGTCTAAATACCAACTTTCTCTAAGACTCTCACTTCCAATATCCTTGGAAGAGGATGTAGACCTAGTGTTACATTTGTATAAAGGCAACTCCTGGGACTCACTCTTCCACCTTGGGCTTTCTCCCTGTTCCCATGGTGCGATCTTATCCGAAGAATAAGCACGTTGTGCAATTGATGAAGATGTCGCATCAGGATAACCAGGCAACCCGGACCTTCCAGTTCTGTCTCCCAAACCTGATAAAGCAGAAGGTGCTTATAAGAACAATCATGGTAAAGTAGATTCTTTGTCATCTTTACTCCACAATGAAAAGTAAAATACCTTCATCAGCCATGATTTCATCTTTCTGATTGGTAGAAGCTACAGCTCCCTCGTTATTTCGGCTAGTAGCATTCCCATCATCCTTTATATGAAGGAACCTACATGAATTCCCTTTGATGCACCAACCTTTAGCAAAAAAGCTACATATAATTGCTGGTCGTTTATTCACATCATGAGGGGAGCCAGGGGACAAACTTCTTGGCCTTAACAACTGAGGAACAGTCAATCTGGAAACCCTAGAAATTATTAGGACCTGACACTATGGTGTGGAAAAGGCAAAAATAAAATACCACTAGAAAAGAGATGAAAATCAGTATAAGCCAACACATCAGTAGCGTGATAAGTGAAATTCAAGAACATAGAGACCCATATCATCACACCTTGGTTCCATTTGCTTTATATCCTTCTCAGACTGCATTCCCATTTGCTTAGTTTCGTCCTCAATTTTCCGAACATTGTTAGCCTGCCCACCTTTACAATCTTTTATGGAAAATGCAGCAGTCACTGTTTCATGAGAAACACTAAAAGGCTTGCTGGTCTCGGCGCTCATTGTCCCAATCCCACATGAAGGAGCCTTACTATCATGATATGTGTCACCATGGTCTCTAGGGGTTCTTTTCCCTGCAAAAGCCCCACAATCTTTCTTATCAGTAACATGTTCCTAAGCTTAAAATCCTCAAAAGCAACCAAATTTTTTACCATATTCTGGAATACTTAAAATCCTCACCATCGGTGCTTGGTTCCTCCTTTTGTCTTGTCTCATTTGGACCAGAAATTTTGGAAGCACCACTACTGCCTTCTACTGCAGGGTTATCCGGCAGTAGGTTTTCTACAGATTTTTCGGGCGTGCAAGAATCCAATCTCAAGTGCTCTTCATACCCCTCAGATTCCATAACTCGGCTAACATCTACAGGAAAGAAACAAAAAAATCAAAAAAGGGAAAGGGAAAGCAAACATCTCCCCAATCAATGCTAGAGGCCAACTAGTTAGGTCGGGTGCCAAGAGATGATTCATAGAAGGTTATCGAACATGAAAATGGTTCACCTTGCAACGTGAGTTTTTATTAAAGAAAACAAAAGGAAGAAGTCCAAACATATTCACGAACCAGAATAACAACTGCATGGAACCATATGCCATGACTTCTTATTGTAAGAATTAGAAACATGCCACAATAGCCCTGTTTGAGGAAAGTGTATTTCCTTAAAATAGCCACTACCATCTTGTTTGGCTTTGTTTATGAATAAAGTTAGCATTCCTAATGGATTTGACTTCCACAAAACCCCCACCAAAGGGTATACTGATGATCTTTCTGTGCCATTTAATGCATGTTGATTGGGAAAAACAATTAGCTAACATTTGGAGTTGCAAAACTTCAATTGGAAGTAGAACTTAGGAAGGGAGTGTGACTAAACAAATATTAAGACATGCTATAAAAGTATCCAAACTCATCTATGGCTTTAAATAGAGAACAGATAATCGTATATAATACGTAAAGCCAATGAGCAATTACTACGATCTGAGGCTCTATTTTGACAACTTGCAAGATATTAGTAAAAAAGAACTTGTGTAACCATAGACGAATGTTGATGCCGTTACTTGCAAGTAAGGATAAAATTTTCGTTTCGAAACGGTTGGAATAATCGAAACGTTCCCGTTCTAAGGAAACCGAAGCGAATTAGTGATTGAATCGAAATCTTCCTAGTGTTTTGAGATGTTTTCACCCATATTTTAAAATGTTTTGAAGTGTTTCAATATGTTTTTGAATATCTGGACTAATGTTTTGAAAACAAATTCTCAAATTTTTTATATGTTTCCATTTTGGCCTTGTTTGGTTTGCGTTTCAAAAAATAGTATTCAAAAACTATTTTTTTGAAGAGTTTTAGAAAAGTGTGTTTTGATATTTTTTGTATTGCAAAATTTGTTTGATTATATATTTCCAAAAACAATTCTACGGAATAAAAAACAGTAAAACTTGTTTTGACAGTAATCCATAAAACAATGAAAACAGAAATGTGGTGGTGGACGTCGTGGCGTTGGTGAAGGTGGAAGTGTGGTGGTGGTGGTGGTATTTTTAAAATTTTGGAAAGGTTGTTACATACAAAACAGTTCTAACTTGTTTTCTAAATCTATCTACTTTTTGTTCTTAGTTTTCAAAAATAAAAAATAAAAAACAATTGGTGAAATAGCTTTTTTTACCAAAAACTGTTTCTGAAACAACAAAAAAAAATTATAATATGCAAACCAAATAGGGTCTTTCATTTCCTAGAAGACCGAAACAGTGCACTAAAACAAAATTTTTATTTTTATTTTCAAAAAAGTTTAAGCCGAAGATTGGGTTGAGCCCATTACTCTAGTCATAGATGAACTCACTAGGTATACTTCCCCCACTCTGTGTATATTTTCTTTCGGGTAAATGATTTACCCAAATATTTGGCTAAATCGTTTACCCAAAAGAAAATATGAATATTTGAGTAAATTACATTGACATGCCCCCTTAAATACAAGGGTGTCCATTGTATTATTTGAAATTGCAATGCATACCCTTACCAGTATTGAGGGTTTGACTAGAGCAATTGAAGGCAAGTCTTTAGATTCAACCCTCATCAATACCAATTGCAAAGTTTTCTAACCATTACCTTTTTCATTTGACCATGTCTTATGCACTAGAGTCCACATGTATGCAATTTTACATACTAGTTGGTGCACGTGTCCGTAGAACATGAACCATTTTAAGTTAAGTTTTGATTTGCTTTGGAATTTACAAGTTATTCTAGTGGAAACAAAAATTTTAAAAAAAACAAGAAAATAGTACATTGCCAGAATTCACCCATAATAATATATTGTGATCGAAAAGTGAAAAAACCAATTTCAATTACATCTCTAGCAAAAACTAAATACAAGGGAGCCAAGATGGATTTTGTGCTCCAATGGAGGCCCAGAAAGAGGAAGCAATTTGGAAAGAGACAATGGGAAAGGAAAGAAAGAGGCACCTAGTAGGGGATGAGGGGCCAAACCAAGTCATGTATATTCTTATGCACAAATTAATTCAATGAACCTATAAATTAACATAAATACACTTATGTTATTAATTTATGATCAAAGGGGAGAATGCAATTGACTTTATAACATTGATCAAGCATAGAATTAAAGATCAAAATTTTTCTCAATTAGTAAATCCACCACCATCACAACGTTCATGAGTAAATCCACCACCAGTCACGCAATAAATCTAAATTAAATGCTACAAAACACCACATTATCCTTTCTATTCTTCGACTCAAAGCCTTTTCTACCTTAGTTTCCGAATTGAATGTTAGATCAAATATTTATCCTAGACCCAAGATCGAGTACCATAGTTTTCTTCTTCATTGATCTCTCATGAGACTTAGAGTCATCACATAATCACCATCACATCAGTCATATAACAACTATTTCAAACCTATATTAATTCCATTGAATACAGCTTAAGTAACGAGATATCTAGTGACGAATACGATTAAAACCGCGATTAGCCATGAAATATGCATAATTGTTCCATTATTTGTTAGCTAATTGCACTGGATTGGAAGTTAAATGTGCGTGAATGATGGATTTCAGGTTTTAACCCTATCTTTGTAGTGTTTGTTTGTTTTCCGAGTAAATAAGTCAAAATATTGAAGATAGGATACAAATAAACCAAATAGAGAAAGCTTGGAATTTTTGGAATGAAGAAAAGCCAAAAAAAGTGGTGCGTTCAAACGCCATTTATAGAGGATTAGCCACGTTCAAACGCAATTCCCCACCTTGGACCTAATTTTCTGAGAAATTGGTGCATCCAAATACATGAATGTCCGAACGCATGAAACGTGCGTCCAGTCGTGAATAATGAAGTTTGCAAGAATAGGGCATACATCCAGACGCATGGTCCTTTAGTCGGGACTCGAAAGCCAAATTTGCCAAAACGTAGTCTTTGATTTGGATTAGTTTTTTAGCTTCTTAATCCATATATAAATACTTGTAAACCCTAATTACGAGATCTATCTTGCCTTTAGCCAAATTTTCTTAGGTATTTATTTTTAATCTGTGTTCATTAATATATGGTTTTTCTTTTTAATTAATTCGTGTCTTTTAATAAAGTTTTTACTCTGTAAAATCTCTTCGTTCGTTGAGTTAAATAAACGATTTTGCATGTTTGAATCAACTAATTAGAATTTTCATAACAATAATTGATTTCTTGTTTGTGATAAATAGAGGTTTTAATTGTTGGAGTACTTGGTTTATCGTCGACTCCAAACACAGTAAATACTTGTGCTTTACAATTAAATACTTAGTTTTATTCAAGTAATTTATCTATTATAATTTTGGATATGTTTACAATATTATCACCGCTAAATCTTCCAATTAAAATCACTTCTCAACTAATTCTTAATGGAATTTGAAAACTGGATCATATATAACTATTGTGTGGAGTTGGAAAGGGATACCCGATGCTCTAATATTCCCAATTACTGTTTCAAACCCTAAATTAATAGTTTTCTGAATATAATTTCTTCAAATGATTCTCGAAAGCAATTTTATTTTAATTTTCTTTGTATTCTGAGTTATTCATCAATTCTCTGTGATACAATATCAATCTTCCAAGATTATATTACTTTACGACAACCTACGCTTAGGTATTGCAATCTTTAAGTTGTAGCAAACTACATGTTTGGTTTAAGGTCACAATAGCGACCATTAAGTCAAATAACACTGAGACGCATTGCGTGGTGTCGCAGAACGGTATCAAGCGGTGCATATGGCATGCTAGATACTTAGTTAAAAAAAATTAAACATGACATGATTCAAACCATATCGCATCATCAGTTGATTCAATGATGATAACTCAAGATTGACTTGAATACGTTTGAACAACTCGAGCGAGTTTTGTGCCTTTTGTTATTTACACAGAACGTGAAACTGTTCTGGACATTAAGTGTCAAATTGAATACAACCCAACTTAGCTGTAGCATTTCAACTTATATTTTCAACCATGATCGCATGGTCATGCACCCATCCAATTCTAGGAGCAATTTTTTATTTTGTCCAATGAAAATAAGCTTGGAAAAGTGAAGTTATGGTGATCATGGCAGTGATACCTAGGCATGGTGGATAGCTCGTGTTGTTTACAGACAAAGATTGTGGAAATACTATGAATATGGTGGAGAAGTGATGGAATAACCTGTTACATAGTACCTTAGCTCAGAGAGGGGAGAGGAAGCTTGAAGCTGCTTTTAGGTTGTGTCAAGTAGCTAATGGTGATTGGTTCGGTGATGTTGTTAGGTTATCACCTAATATTAGAAATAAATTGATTGTGTTGAGTTGGTGGTAACATATTATGGAAATGGGTTTGAATATAGAGAAAAATGTTAGGGAAAAAAAAGTGATAAAATTATTTGGGATTTCTTCGTTTTAGAATTCATATTTTGATCTATTTTTAATGGGAATAAATAGATCAAATCTTGATGTTACCTATTTTAGGATTTTTACATCATTTTCTTGAAATTACTTTTTATTTCTTTGTTTGGATGAAAATGAAGATTGTTGGAGTTTATATTAAGTATTGTGGAGAACACAAAGTCTAGAGAGGGGAAAATGAAATAAAAGTATTATAAATTAAAGGCAAAGGTTGCAAGGGAATGTTCAGAGTTGGAGCTTCTTTTTTTGCTTAATAGTGTTTTCATGATCCAAAATTGTTTGGATAAAAGATGTTGGACTATTAATTCAACGGGTATTCTCTCATGTAAATCCTTCTTTGAGTCTTTAATCGATGATTCCTCTCTTCCATAGTTCCCTCCATTGAGGTTGATTTGGAAAGCTAGAGTGTCTTTAAAGGTGCAAATTTGTGTTGCATAATTGCTAATGATTAGATTACGACTTATGATTTGTTTCA